GTTCAACAAAAACCCTAATTGAGAAAGTATTCCAAATATATTTTTTTAATACATTATTTGAAAAAAAAAAAAAAAAAAAAAAAAAATATCCTAATTGAGAAGTATCTAGCTAAGAGGTTGTTATATTTATTGAATTGTCTCTTCTGTTGTGTAGTTATTTCGTTTGCTAGCCATGAAAAGGACACGAAAACCCTATCTAGAAAAAAAGAAAAAGGTGAAAGGGAGTAGAGTGTTAAAGCAAAGATAAATGCGTCCAGTGAATAATGCAAAGAGATGGCAGTGGAAGTGAACTGCTCGATCATCCAAACTTAAAGACAAATGAAACAATTAATATATATGAAAGAGCCTTCTTTCGATCCGTATTTTTTTTAATTTAATTTTTTTTTTTTCCTGCTATTTTCCATAAAGCTGCATGTGGAGAGAGAGAGAAGAGAGAAGAGAGAGAGAACAGATCCCAATGAATTCTGATTTTTTGAGAGAGTACGTACTCTAGCTCTTCTAATTCCTGGGGAGTCTCAATGAAGGATTAATGTGCAACATTAATTTCTTGACAACTTCTGTTTCATATTATTGTACTCTACTCTCTTTCAAGTTTTAGAAACCATAATATGATTAAAGTTTCATAAGTTATTATATGTGTGTGTATATATATATATATAGTGAATTTATTGGACATTTGTACTTTATAATATCTTGGAGCTTCTATAATAGGCCTCATTGTCTAGAAATTATATTAAATACAATACAGTAAATATTTCAATTTTAAGGAAGATGTTCTTTAACGAAGGCTGCATTCTATTCTTTTCCTCATGTGAGTTAATTTAGGTCTAGTAGGCTGAAGCTTTGGCAGCCAATCAAGCCCTTAAAATGGGCTATTGAATGGGGATTAACTCAACTGATACTATTTTATGTTGTGGGTGATTTTGTGCCTCGTAACTCGATGTGATTTGGGAAGATAGCCAATTCTTGTTGCAGCAGAAGACATTTTTTTCCTTTCAGTGGGTGAATCTATAAAGAACAATTTGTGATTAACTTATCAAAAATAAAATAAAAAAAATTGTAATTATAAATTCACTCTTATGGTAAAATAGGAAGATGTCCTTAAGCTTTACTTCCCTTCAATCCTGCCTCTCTGAACTACATGATTTTGAGAAAAGAAAATGACATTGTCTAGCTTGTGAAACGGAGAAATTATTTATAAAATTGTAATCGAATAAGAAAAAGATCTATGAAAGCCTCATGATTTGAAGTAGTCTCATTGATTTTAATTTTCTTTATTTGGCCTCTCGAATGACGATTAATTATTCAATATTTTTTTCTTAAACCCACATCTAAATCCATTAAATGTTGTACCATGACCTTAATGTTTTTGATTGGATGAACATTAATACGTTATAATAAATGCAATTGATTGGATGAATAATAATACATTATACTAAATGCAATTTATACTAAAAATGTGCATTTATATCGTAATTTGGAAGAGCATATGTCTTTCCATTTTACCAATATTTAGACACCTCTATGCTGCACTAACCATTTTTTTTTCCCACTCTTTTCTTTTTTTCTTTCTTTTCAGTTTTATCTTTTCCCCAAAGTCCCAATTAAATGTAATAAATTCAGTTTTATATTCCAACTTTGAGATGTCACTCGTAAAGGAATTTTTTCTATACAACCTTGAGTCCTCATTAACATAAAATATAAGACAAACATGTGCATAATCATAATTTAACACTGCTAATTGATAAATCAATTCTTTAATAAATAAAGATAGGGAGATCGATGAATTAAGCCCGAATAAGTATCAAATCTGACGTGTTTTTGTCTACCTTATCTACTTAAACAGTTTTCAAAAATAATTGTTTAACAATAAGAATGACCAACCACGTCAAATTCGATACTAATTCAGTGATTCCTTTTCGATTCCCCTATCATTACTCTTCTTTAATTGAGTATTTCAAATTGAAAATGTCAACTGAATAAACTCGGTGAGAACCTTTTAAAAATGAATTTTTAACAAAACTGGACAAATATTACATTTTTAAAAAATAAAAATAAATTAGCGATCAAAACTCAATTCTTAAAACTTTGAGCATTTGGTCAACATGAACATTACCCAATCCCGTCTGAGATTGTACTGTATTAATACTTTCCCATCTTCTAGAACATTGAGGTTCAAGTTTTCATGAGTGTATATATTATGAGTTCTTATAAGTAGTTTCTCATAGAAATATATATATATATATATATTTATTTATTTATTTTAAGAGAACTATAAAAGATAATTTTTTCAGAACATTGTAATTGAAGGAGTTTATAGATAATTTTTAAATTTTCTAATTTTTTGAAAAAAATAAAACTATTTTTACATAATCAAATCGAACCGAACTGATGAGATAATAGAATTGCTGGAGGACTTGTATGGTTCACCGTCTTAAAACGTGACTTTTTAATTTGTTTGCTCCATTCAACTCGATTTATCTGATGTATGAAAGTCTCACTCACGTTTGCAGCCTAGAATAATATTTTCTTGCGATTCCATGAGATAGATAGAGCTTTCGGTTTAGCTGAAGAAAGCAAACTACAACCACATGATAAAGTTAGGCGCATGCATATATAGAAAGAGTGCATGGGTCGGTGCAAGTGTGCGGCTGTAGTATTCAAAGAATGACGGCGACTAAACGTGGCCGGTCTGACCAAAGACTCATGTCAGCCTCTTTTGGTCCCCAATCTAACACCATTAATTACCCAATAATATTAATATTAAATAACAACATCAATAATTCAAATATTTACCAACTACTTGTTTTACAAATTAATGTCTGTCATACCATACCAATCAATCATTTTTCTAATAATATACTATTTTATTAAAGAAACTGTTAAGTGGTTAAAAAAAAAACTTCTAAACTTTTGTCTCTCTCGCACTTTTTTGTTTTTTTATTGGGAGGTTACAATCCCTAACACCCTTTGATTTGCAATAAAAAAATAAATTAGAATTCACAACCTGCAAAATAAAATAAATTATAACCAAAATTGGGTTACAACGCGATTTGGGCAAAAATAAAATTTTGATTATATACACACTTTCACATAAACCCTAGTCAGATGACTTGGGGTACAACCGCTTAATTGCTAGGGGTGAGTAAGCAGAGCGCACCTGGCTTAAATAGCAAAACGCTAACCAGCTATTATTATTAATAGTACCCTTTTATTTCTTGTACAATTTATATCTGTGGTCTATCAGAGCAGTGTCAGTGAACCCTGTGCGCCCTTTCTTGTTGAGATTCCCGCCACTGTTTGTTTGCAGAGAAAAGTTAGGTTTCTGGAACTCCCATAAGATGAAAAGAGAAGAAAAACAAAAAATTTCCCCATCAAAGTACTGCCATGCACCCTTCTCTCAGTTATGTATATTTTGTCTCCATTTACATTTTCTTGAATAAAGGAATATATGAGGATGGTAAAAACAATAATCAGAAAAGTAGATGAACTATAAATATACTATAGTCCTTTGCTTCCTTTAAACAACAAGTTGAAGTTTTTTTCCGGGGTTCTTGTTGAGTAACTTTCTAGAAATTTTACTCCAAGGATACTTATTAGTGTTCAGATACAAAAACTTTTCCCAAAACTAATTATTTAGTTTTGAAGTCAAAACCTACAATTCCCTTTTTAAATTCAAAGATAGACAAGGATGGTTAATTTCTTGTCTCAATCTTTCTGATGCTCAAAATGAGTGCTGGTTTTTAGGGCAATCTAGTGAGTCATTAATATATATATATATCAATAGTAATTTAATTCACTTTGTCATTGCCTTGTTAGCTAGATTGGTGCTAGATATTTGGAGCTGATGAGATCCACCTCTTCTCAATTGGAGAAGGCCTAATCATTAGAGAAGGTGAAAAAGCATATTTGAAATCCTTTTCAAAGTTGAGAAAGAAACTTCCACACGTCTATATATTTACACACACACACACACACATATATATATATATTTTTCTTTTCATATGTTTTTGATGCATGACTGAACATAGCATCTTGATTTTGTGGAGTATGATCAGCTGTTAGGTTCAACACTTCAACTTGCCCCATGCAAATCTCTCTGCAAAGAAAGTTGTGTGGTCCTCTCTCTCTCTTCAGTGGGTGTTTTAAAGAAGATATCCTGGTCCCTCACCCATGAGGTAGCCTTTCAATGTCCCAAGTACCTGTCACACACACATCAAGATGACAATGCTCTTAGAGCACACACCACAACTTTTCAAGCCCTTGAATGGACCTATATATCCCACTGGATGATAATTTCTCTATAGTTATCTACTAAATATATTTCTCCTCCAATTGAATATTAAATGCCCTTACTGTTTTTGTATTTGGTGATAATTTCTCTATAGCTTGTATAATTAACTAAATATGGATTCAATTTAACTTATATCATATCAAATTGTTCAATAATATTCATGCAGCTTACAAAAAATATCACAAATGAATTGATGAAAATTACTAATTAACCAAGGTTGTTAGCTAGTTCTATATGCCATGTTAAGTTGATATTACAGGAAAAAATTTGTGGTAACAGATGAATTGATGTAAACTTCAGCTGTTGAATCTGTATGAAAGGTTTTAATCACACAATTAAAACATTTCCCCTTAATTGATACTTCAGGCATGCAATTGCATGCCTACCCATGTGATTGAAATTCAGTCACAAAACCTTTTGTAATTGTCGATAAAGCATTAGGCGCAGCTTTTCAAAATGTGCAGAATGGTCCCCAGCTGAAATTATGTAGCTAGTTTGTTTTTGTTGAACATTATTATCTTACCAAAACATTTGCTTCCTACAAACTAACACATCATAAACATTGTGACTGGCAGAATAAGATTAGCACAACTAATTCATCATACAATGATAGTTCAACATGCGTGACAAGAAAATGATAAGATTTGGCCTAGCTAGCATATACATTTGACAGATGCCAAGATACGCCACGTGGACGCGTATTCACCATTGCTTTCTCTTTAATTTTTCCATGGAGCATGGTCGGTTGAATTCCGGCATCTTCTCTTTCTCAATCTGTAGAATTTCTTCAATAAATTTATTCTCAGTACTGGAAAGTGGATTTCCCCCTTGGAACCTAAATACAGCTTGAGAGAGTCGAATATATAGCGAATTCAGGAAGGCACAATCAACAGCAGTTGCCACTCTTTCCAACTAAATCAAGGACCAAAATTCGATACACCACAAGAAGTGTCATGTAAGTTTTCCTGATTATCCTAGCTAGCCCTAAAAATTTGCATAGGTTTATCTAGAGTTTTTTTCCGCCAATAATATGATACATCTTTTGCTATATGTAACTAGATCAAGCTAAGTTGATAGAATTGGTATTCATTTGTTAATCTGGACTATTTCATTGACTAGCATCAAAGAGTTGTATGATATTAGTTTTCTGTTCACTGCACTAGTTATCCAAAAGAAAATTGTTATACAGTTTAGAATCGTGGATACTACTTTGAGGTTATCAAGCGATTATCAATCTATCTAGAATACTATATATCCTATGATTTGTGTAATCGTAATTGTTGGATCTTCTTTCTATTTGTGTATGTGAAACTCATCATTTTGTGTCCAGTGTTGCAGAGAATTATAATTTTTTTTATTGGGGGGAAGGGTTGCTGACCAACCTTCTATATTTGTTTTGGACAATTATAAAGTTGACTATTTATGATTTGCAGTGGCAGAAATTTTTTGATTGTATGTTTTCTCTCCTTTTTATATTTTCCTTTCCCCTTCATCATGAAGCAGAAAGTCATAAGGAACTACCTGAAGAAGCTTTATGCACGCGCAGTAAGCCAATTTCAGGATTGAAAAGTTTTCGGAGTTAAGCTACTACCAAGGAAATTGAATTGGTTCACAGTTGGTTTTGCACCAATAATGAGAGGCATAAGATGATTACAAATTCAAGAGAATCAGGCTTTACAACAAAACAGGAAGGAAACACTAGTAATGAGAAGATCTCAAAGGTTTCATCTAGTTCAACACCATGGTCAAGGTTGAAGGATCCACGAATTGTGCGTGTGTCACGCGCTTTTGGTGGCAAAGACAGGCACAGCAAAGTTTGCACTGTGAGAGGATTGAGAGACAGGCGCGTAAGGCTTTCAGTACCCACTGCTATTCAATTGTATGATCTTCAAGATAGGCTTGGGCTTAATCAGCCTAGCAAGGTGATTGATTGGCTGCTGAACGCGGCTAAGCATGAAATCGATGAGCTCCCTCCTCTCCAAATGCCACCAGGAAACTTCAGCCAAATTCCTCAATCAATGCTAACCTCTCATGGTGCTGGTGCTTCACAATCCAACAAAGATGGACTTAAAATGAACAGCATCAACTGGGATGATCCACTGGGACTACCCAAGTCAAATTTTTGGAGTTCAGATGCTACTGTGAGGGACAAGTCTAAGGAGGTTGCAATAGAAACAGCAGATGATCAGAAAGAAGTTTGGAATAGAAGAAATGAGGAAGAAAAACAAGGTACTATTGAAGGTCATGCTTCATGTGTTTCATCTAATGACCTTTTCCCAAGACCTAACCATTCTTCATTGCCTGGCCTGCCTAATCATTCCATGCCATATAATTCGTTCTATCGTTGGGATCCATCGAATTTTTCCTTATCTAATATAGGAAGTCATGGATTTACAGTACCTCGAACCGAAGATCTTCAAAACCTTAATGTTTTGCCATTGGCATCAACATTGTCTCTTCCATCTGGATCTCAAGTTTTTGTGTGTCCACCTGGAACAACACAATCTTATTTCCCTTCACATGTTAGTACTTCAGCCGAGTTCGATCCAAAACAAATCAACCATTTCCAGATGTTAAGCTCAAGTTCACAAAATCCCATGTCAAGTTCTCTTACACCACCTCTTTACTCTATAAGCCAATCCGTGAGACCCTTCCAATTGAGCATGAATTCTAAGCTTTTCTCTTCTCAAAACAATAGCGAAAGTCAGTCAAACAAAGACATTGAATTTCCTACAAAATGATCTGAAAGCATTCTGTATCTTTCGAAGGCTTAGATCATAAGTTCTTATATATGATGAAAGGGGAAAATAATATTCCATTTCTGCCATATCTGGAGTGGAAGACCTTTGATTGTTATAATGATCAGAGTGTTCATGTTTCATTTCATAAGACTTCATCAAGAGGAATATTGGTGTCAAATTCAGAACTTTTGCTGTCTGATGAATAGCTGATACTGTAAGATTACAACATATATAGGTTGTTCTTATGTTCACAAGTATTTATTATGAATTTATAATAACTCAATGATAGTATTTGAACAGGAAGATGCTTAAAGCTATGATTTACTATTTGTTACATATATATATATATATTTCAGTGTGCATCTTGCATTCATTTGTCCCACGCTTTTGTTTGTCAATTATATATATATTTAAAAAACAAGAATGATCATTCGTTAATAAATCAACGAGCTCCCCAATGATGGGAACGAGTTCATTTCATGGGCAGCATCTAACTGGAACTACCAGCCTAAATTCAACACACACAAACACTATGTTCAAGTTATATCTTGTTGGGCGTGTTATACTGTGTTTGGAAGGAGTAGATCATGACTATGCAGGAAGTTTTCTGTTTACTGGAGAAAGTTAGTCAGTCCATCTGGGAGACTAACCTTTTGTTTCAACTCTTTTCCGCGAAGACTAGAGACTCGAGGTGGGTGAGATCCTTAGTCGCAACATGGCAGCTTAGTTCTGTTGGTTCTCTGTTGCAGATGAGTGTGAGTTCTTGGCGACAACCATCTTTCTGTGTCGTAGCTTTTGTAGCATCTGGTCTCGATCTGTGGCTTTTGGTTTGTGTAGTACTCGTCTTGACTCCATATTGCCTGCCTTATACATTCTTATTCTTTAATAAATTGCCTGCCTTGTACACAACATTATTAGAACTGTTAAACTGGACCACCCAACTATGTGGAATGGTACTGCTTAGTTTGGTATTTTTGAGTAAGTTCTGTACTTGTTAAGTTGCCCTAATGCTATGGATTTTATTCATTCTGAATTCTAGCTCCACAGTAAACCCTAGTTTTTGGTGAATCCTGCTTAATTTCTCAACATACATATATAGCAAATTATGATTTTCATTTGATTAATATGTGAATAGGTATATATATACAAAATCATAGAATCGAACTGAACTAAACCAATCCGATCGTTTACGATTCAATTTGGGTTTCAATAGTTCTAATAGTTTCGATTCTGCAATAAGATTTCTATAATTGTCGGGATAAGTTTAGTTCTAGTTCATCTTAAAACTGGATCTAACCAAATCGTGCACCCGTAGACCATTAATGTGAGTAAGATGTTTTTATCTACATATATGTTTGTTTCTTTTTTCTTTTTTTTATTTATTTTATGAGTTGTAAATTATAGAAATGCGGCTCCGTTTATTTGGATGTAAATTTTTTTTAAAAAAATACATTTTTATTTGTTTGGTGTTTAGTTATAAAAAGTTTTTACATGGACTCGACCTTAACCTTTGTCAAACATTGAGAAATAAAAAATATATATATATAAAATAAAAAATAAATATATTTTAGCTGAAAAAAAAATAATAAAAAATAATAATAATTTGAGGAAGATAATTATGTGGAAACAAATGTAGCCGTAATGTTAGTATAATGTACTCCATATTCTTGCAACCTCTTGAAATAATCCAAAGCTCTCTCTCTCTGAGTCAGCAGTAGTACTGTTGTTCAAAACCTTGGAAAGAAACCCATTGTGGATAGAATAGTCAACATTCATTAATTTGCCTTTCAGAAACTATACACACAATTAGGATATATAGAAGGAATCACATATAGAAAAGAGGTGGAAGATGCAGAGAAGAAAATGAAGGATGAAGAGAGAAATTGCTTTATTGAGTAAGACAGATGAAGAATTGTAGCAGTGTCGACTTTTCACAAGATCCAACAACGTACCTAACATATATTGGAAGGAACAGCAGCAGGCTAGCTAGCTAGTTTAGAGTAAACCTTCCAAAGTGGCATCAAATGAAAAGTTTATTATTGTGGTCCTCATCAACTACTGATCAAAAAAGGAGAAGAAGAAATACTATATATATATATATATATATATATATATAATTAGGGTTTTGGAGGCAGCTAGCTATGACCCTTTTTCTTTGTGTAAGAAAAGGGACCACGGAGGCTCTATATATATGAGGTCCCCCATTCGTTGTTCGGTTTTCTATACCATAATCAGTTGGCCTAATTACCAAGTTACTTCTACATTTGGCTCTTTGATTCTTTTCCTTGCAATCCTAGGGTTTGAATTAAGTTTCTTGAGGTACACACTCAAATATTTTTTTATTGACTAGGAAACCCATCGGTGCTTAGGCTTCTTGACAAGGAGACTGTGATTGCAACTTATGAGATTGAAACGTACAACAAATTCAGTATTTGGGAATGACAAATCCCCGTTTGCTGAGGTGGTGTTTGAGAGTTGAATATAAAACATTAATGTCCAATGTAATCCAGAAAAAAAAAAAAAAAAAAAAAAAAAAAAAAAAAAAAAAAAAAAGAAAAAAGAAAAAACCAACAACAACAATTGAGTAGAAGAGTGAGAAAGTGATGGAGGGAAAGCATTAATTTTCTGATATAAATTTTATGTTTAACTACCAGGGGAAAAAATAAGGAAATAATGTCCAAACTATATATAAAGTTCATCAGATTATTCTGTCATTTTTCTTTCTTTATTTCATGTAGTGAAGATCATTCTCTAATTAATGATTCTAATATATTCATGTTTTATTCTCTTGGTAAAGAATATAAAGACAACAATATAAATGTACGGATAACAACCAGAGAATATTGTTATAATGATACGGAGAAAACCATTATATATGTTGGCATGCTTCAGTCTCACTTTGCCTCTCTTTTTGTGGGTAAAATTGATATGGAAAAAGAAATTAGTTCGAATTAAGTACAAATCGGAGTATAATATTATTACAAAATTAGCATCATGCAATACTGGTTGTGTATAATGTATATTCCCTTTTTCCTTTAATTAATCTAAACTTACAGGAAAAAGAAAATCCATTCAGTATTATATAAATGACATTCAAACTAATTTGTAGAACGGATTCATCATAATTCATGAAATGACATAATCACATGTAAAATTCAAGATTTAACCCAATCACGTATTGTTTCAAATTTTACAGTTGTTATGAGGATGCTTTATTATAAATAAAAATGAAATTTAAATTAAAAAAAAAAAAAAAAAAACCACCAGAACTGGGAAAACCAAGGTGAAATGGTGGTTGGACTAAGCCTTAACTTGGGGTTTTGTTTCATCATTACGCTAGATCTGGGAAGTAATTAATTAAAGAAAGGCCTCTTCTTGGCCTGGATTAAAGAATTTAGGAATGTTTTTTGTTAATTGAGTCTAGTCTTACATGAAAACCCTTTATAAATAAATAAATAAATAATCGAACACTTCCCATAAATAAATTTAAAAAAAAAAAACCGAATGTGCTTGAGCTTTCAGAGTCAATCACAACTCATTTTTGACTAAAAAATAAAATAAAATTCACAACTCATTTAATAATCTCAGGTGAATATATGTACATACATTACAGACCTTGATAAATTAGGCGACACCAATATACATTCGGAGAAGAAAACTTAATACAAGCATAAGCCATGCAAGTAGGGAGGTGAATTAGTGTCGTAAAAAATGAAATCAACAAAGCATCCACAGGAATTATTACCAACCCACATATGCCAATAAAAATATATATGTCATGGAGCGTGTAAGTACTGATCCCTATAAATAGAGTTAACTGTTTTTGTGTGAGACGTGACGTTTGTTGGTCTTAGCGGGCTGGCGGGATTCTTTTTGTCCATGATTTTGTAAAAGGTTGCCACCCAATGTGGCCCACAGAGTAAAGCCCCGGCCCACACTCAACCCGAAATTTGTAGACGGCCCTGGCCCACATCATACGAAATGATGTAAGCTAAAAAAAAAACAAAGAGAGAGAGCTCCCGGCGAGGATCGAACTCGCGACCTTTCGCTTACGAAGCGAACGCACTACCACTATGCTACGGAAGCCGTTGCATTTGCAAATTTCCAGAATAAAATAATTGAAGCAAATCAAACCAAGTTCTCTCTCTACAGTCAATGTGATTATTTTTGTTTTGTCAAGAATTTAATAACAACTAGTTATGGTGATTAGTGTAAAACAACGTGCAAAGATGTTGTAGGAAGAACCCAAACATTGGGAACCTATAATTTAGGGAATTTAATTATGATCACTGTTGAGGTCAAATTGTCGTTAATTGTCTACGGACATAATTTATTTATAAAAATAAAAAAAAAATTATTTTGTTTGTTGTGTGATTAGCATTTTGATTTTTCCAACAATCATCTTCCCTAAGCTTGGCACTTGGCACTTGGCACTTGGCACTCTATAATTAACAGACGTGAACCCATCTTGAACTCAGCTTCCCTCTCTCTCTCTCTCTCTTTCTGTCTCTGGCTTATCCTCCTCCCGATCCAGGGGTTTTACTAGGGCTTAACGTTAATTCACCAATCCTATCGAACCCTTATCTTTCACTAGCACAGCTAATGCTATCCAATTTCTGATTAGGGTTTCCTTTTCCACATAATCCATTCAATCTTGAATCAAAATTCGGCTGAACTCCAGATTCAATCGCAGAAACCCTATAAATAAATCAGTCTAGGTTTTGCTGGATTCTTTCTGTACTGAAGTGTTGTTAATTCTAACGATGATCAGTCGCTGAAAGATGCGAATGGTCTTTTTGGGGATTTTGCTTATTTGAAGTGACATGAAGTGTCGAGTATGAGCGATGGAGGTGCGGAGAGTGGAAGAGACTACCAACACAACACTATCAAGAAGAATTCAGGAGGAACTGACGATTTTGCCCAATCGATTGCAAAAATTGCTGTAGCGCAGGTTTGCGGGAGTGTAGGGTTTCAGAGTTTTCAGCACTCAGCTCTCAACACGCTCGCTGACGTCGCCGTCCGATATATTTCCCACTTAGGGAAGACTGCAATTCTCTATGCGAATTTGGCCGGTAGGAATGAGTGTAACGTGTTCGACATAATTCAGGGATTGGAAGATTTGGGATCGCAACAGGGATTTTTGGGTGCTTCAGATATTAATAGCTGCCTTGCAGTTTCTGGCATTGTTCAGGAGATTATTCGGTATGTTGGTGAAGCTGAGGAAATCCCATTTGCGCATTCGATTCCACGTTTTCCGATTGTTAAAGACTCGAAGCCAATGTCAAGCTATATGCAAATCGGAGAAACGCCACCGGCCGAGCACGTACCGGCATGGTTACCTGCCTTTCCTGATCGCATGACTTACGTAAACTCGCCCTTGCAGCATGAGAGAGAAGCAGATACTCAGTCGGATAAGATTGCGGAGGCTAAAGAGCAGAAGGTAGAACGGCCGTTGATGAATTTGCAGCAGGAGTTGGCTTCTAATGGGTCTGAGGTGCCAACAGCAGTTGACCCAGGAGATGCTGCTAAGGCAAAACGAGCTGCGGATTGCAACCCGTTTCTTGCAGCACCAATGCAATTTGGGGAGAAGGTAGTGTCTTCAGTTCTTCTTCCGCCTAAGCTTTTGGATGAAGCTGTCATGCAAAATCGTGCAGTTATTGAAAATCATGTTTCAGTATTGGATACGTTTGCCCCCGCTTTTGAAGCGGTGAAGGACAGGTTATGTGATCCTGAAGAGGGTGGGAAGCAGGTTCTTTTGAAGAAGAGGCCAACTGTGCAATTTAAGTTTGGGACTGGTAAGAAGTCCTTCATTACAGCAATGAGCCTCCAAAATGAAGGTAATGAGAAAACTGCCTCTTGATTTGGGAATGAAAATTTGAAAGATGACAAGAAAAGGAGGGCCGGGCAAATTATAAAGGAATCCATGGAAATCTCGCAGGAACTGACTCAATTGTAAATTAGGTCTGTTTGATTAGAATTTGTATACTTATTAAGGAACCAGCATCAGATGCTGCTTCCACTGTAGTCAAAGTCGGGGAGCATAGATTTGTCTATATACAGGCATTAGAGACTGCTAGAGGAAAATGTCCCCATTTTTACACGTTTCCAAGGTATGTGCTTGTGAGTTGCCATAATAGACTTTTGTCATTAATGATTTTTTCAAATTGCAATTCTTGTTTTTATAATTTAGTAGTGGATAGATACTTTAATATGCCTTTTAGCAGTTGTGACCATTATTTCTACTTATAAAATGAATCTACGTAAAATTTGGCGACAATGAGCCATCTAAGGTGGCCTTTGAGCGTTGAAGCAGCACTGGAAGGATTTTCTGGTTCATTATGTTAATAGGGTAAGTTCCTCTAAAATTGGTGTTGCCATGTGCAAGGTAGCAAGAGTAACAGTTTACTATTTCCTCTGAAATTGGAGGATATGGACTTTTGATAAAATATAATGGTGGGGAAGGGGTTCTAATTGACTTGAATTTGGGATCTAATGCCCTGTTGACTTCTGTTTCGGTTGAACAATGTCAGACAAAATTTACATATAGCAACATACTGTATGAGTCTCTAAAAATGTTTTTATTCCTAAATTTTCTTATTGGATTATGATATCAATGAATATTTTGCAATCTTATATGGGTGCAGTCTTAATTTGTGTTCACGTACCAATTTCAAGAGGTGCTTTTCTCAAGGCCTGCGAAAGAGTGAAAAACTGGTGTAAAGTGTTGTCTGCCTTTTAGGGGCGTCATATTGCAAATTTGCAATATCCATAATTAAGTGCAATCACTATACACTAGGTGGTTGCAGCTAAATTTAATTAGACTTTGTATCTTCATTGATGTTACTCAGATTCATTCTTGGATCTTATTCTGAATTTTAGAAGGTTTATATGAATTGATGTTCTGTGGTTCAGTTGATTTCCCTGTGGTGCACCATCTTGTCTCATATGCACACTCTTAGAGTTTCAGATTGCGATGGGGGTTAAAGATCTCCAGTTTTAGCTTCAATTAACTTTGTACATTACATAATTTATTTGTGGAAAGTTGCTGTCTTTACCTTGGTTGCACTCAGGTGTGTTCCTTGGCTGTATTGGGTGGAGGTGTCATTGATTCTCGAGTCAGTAGCTGTATTAGAAGTTAGAACTTAGGGTTGATTTTCATATATATATATATATGTAGATGGCAGGTTGAAAAATTTTCATTGAAACAAGAGAAATGGAAGTTGTTCCTTTTTTTTTTTTTTTTTGGCGGGGGGGGGGGGGGGGGTTTAGTCCCAAGACCATTAGCTCTATCATAAGGGCGTTGATCTATCTTTTGGTGCGACAGTTACTCCCACTCTTAATTGTGGTTTTGGTGAAATGCATGATTTGATGATCATAAATTATAATCTAATCTGTCTCTCTTATCGGAGGAGGAGGAGGGTTGGTAGTTGAAAATTCTGATGAGTACTTGGGTTGCCCAGAGGATGATTTTATATTTTCCTTGTTTATTTGTGGGTCATCTGATATGTTCCATTATTTTTCCTTTTCTACTTATCGCTAAAGTTATTATCTCTGATCAGAAACGGTTATTTATTTATTTTTTAAAATTTTAAAATTTTTATCAATTCAAGGAAGATCCAATATAATGTTGAACCATTGTTTTCTGGATAACTTCACTAATAGGTGTTTGGCGCTGTTTTCCTAGTTTGAGTTAGAACGTGACTTGAGTCAACTATGGAAATAGTATGGTTTTACAGGTTACTACACTGACAAACACTAATTTCACTTTGTATTTTCCCTCATATATTTGTTTGCTTTAATTAATTTTGCTGCTTAATTAATTTTAGTTGTTTGTTCTAGCCTTTGAGTGCTCGAGAACTATTTGTATGATTCATAACACGCGTGTTCGCTGGCAACTAAGTACAAAAAAGTCTACCAAAATTAATATAGAAATTACTTTAAAAATTACTAATATAGTAAGAAGTGATAACTAATAATTTTAAAATATTAAATTTAGTAGGAGATAAATTTAATTAGAAGACAAAAATGCTTGACTTGAAGCATATACTTGATGTGGCAATGAACTTTAATCTGAGAAAAAAAAAATCTATCACGTATATTAATTGAAATTTGTCCAAAAAAATTATGGTTTGCAAATTTCTTTTCGATGTTTTAGTTTGTAGATTGATGCTATTAAGAGAGAGCTCTCTATTTAACTACTGGATTTGAGGAAAAATGACAATCAGTTACAGCTAAGAGGGAGACTAAAGTTAACGGATAAAATAACATGTGGTTTGACTAAGGCAATGATCTTTATTGAAGATTTAATGGAGAAATCAGTGGAGAAAAATCCTCCTTATTTCCTATTTTCTATCTCTTTCCATTCTCATAATTTCTTCTCCTATATAAAGGAGCTTCCACCATTGTATTGTATATGAATTGAGAGAGTATTATAAAAGTGATGTAGCCCTTTGGGCTCTTTGTGCCGTGGATGTAGGCCCTAGTGGCTGAACCGTGTAATATCTGTGTGTTGTTCTACTTGTTTTATTTATCTCTTTGCTTCCGTTTTATGCTTTACAACATAGTATCAGAGCATAATTTCTCTTCCTAAATTCGGACCCTTATTTTGGGGTATTCCCTTAGCATTTGAAATGCTGCTAAGGGTTTCTCGGTGTTATTTGTGACTTATTTGGGCTGCCGGTTTGTTCGGCAATAATGTTCTTCGCCTTTGCCGTGTCTCCGGCAGTTTTTATTGACTTATTTGGACTGCTGGTGTGTTCGGTAGCATTATCCTCGCCTTTGTCGTGTCTCCAATAGTTTTTTGTTCACTTGTTTGGGTTGTCGGTGTGTTCGGTAGCATTGTTCTTCATCTTCTCTCTTCATCATTCACACTTGTTGCTCATCATCTCAATGGCAAGTTGGGCATTCATGCTCCAACTTAATGCCCAACTTGAGGGGGAGTATTGAAAATTTAATGGAGAAATCGGTAGAGGAAAATCTTTCACTAATTGATGTTGTTTCTTATTATTGAAGAAAAATCCTCCTTGTTTCCTATTTTCTATCTCTTTCCATTCCCATAATTTCTTCTCCTATATAAAGGAGCTTCCACCATTGTATTGTATATGAATTGAGAGAGTATTATAAAAGTGATGTAGCCCTTTTGGCTCTTTGTGCCGTGGATGTAGGCCCTAGTGGCTGAACCACGTAATATCTATGTGTTGTTCTACTTGTTTTATTTATCTCTTCGCTTTCGTTTTATGCTTTACAACAATCTTAGATAGTGGAATGAAAAAATAGATTCATGTAGCTGACCCCAAATAGTTGGCTTTGATTGTTGTTGTTGTAGTTACAACTAAAATAGCTATTATAGGTGTCATCTTCTTTTTTATCCTCCTCCCACCTTTAATTTGTTTGTAAGAGTATTTAAAAGTGATACTTCTTTACTTAATTGGAACATCTAAATATACCTTTACATTTTTGTACAAAGATCAATTGGTGCACTTTTTCATTTTCCCCCATTTTTTGCTTTCAACGAGTTTCCGGAATATAATCTTCTATTGATTTACTCACTAGGCCATGCTCAACAATCTCTAATGGCCATTCAAAGCAATCTTCTTTGAAGTAGCTTCCAAATACCCCCCTTTGTGAAAACTAATGACTGGAATCAGGAATTTTTCAGCTCTGGATTAATGCAAGTCTGGGGTTAAAAAGAGTCTTATAAGGAATAATATTTAGAATCCATAATGAAAATCAAAAGCAAAGCAAAGATTGATTTTAAGGAAAGAAGAATTGCTACTATTTTGAATTGTTCAGATAATTCTAGAAATTTTACCTATGGCTCAGGAGTTTACTTTTATGATAATAACAGCCTTAAATAATATGGTTATGTGGTCTGTATATGGAATTTTTTGATGGGAATTCTGGTATTTAGTCATGACTATTTGACAATGTCGCCAACTGCTGTCAGCTTGAAACCCGATCACATTATATACTTCTTGCAGTCTTGCAGATCTGTTTGGACAGCCTCCGTATTCTTTTCTAGATTCTACATTCTAAATTATCCAACCTCTTGCAGGTGTGGTAGTTGGAAGTTGATTATTCAAGCATAGATTAACTGGGAAAGTCTTGCTTGATTGATGTACCAAATAATATTCCATGTTGATTTAATTAGTTGGTATTCTTAAGATGCGGTCGTTTCTTGCTATAGTTGTGAATTCATTGATGAGTTGTTTCTTGCTATAGTTGTGAATTCATTGATGAGTGGACTGCTATGTGCTCCTTTGATGCTAGCCACCGCATAGAATAAATCAGAGTTGTTTTTCTGGATTGGGGATGGGGGAATGGTTCAAATGAGATTAAATATTTATCACTTGAGTGTAGATCCTGTGAAATGGCCGACATATTCTTATAGGTGCTTGCCATCAGGAAACATGGAGGATAAAGATGTAGGGGCAGTAGAAAATACCGCGTGAAATATGTGGTATGTGAACTGGGAAGGCAAAATTGGAATTAACTTAATTGTATAAACTACTTTATGTGGGTGCGTGTTGAGAAAATATATACCTTTTGAGGGTTTCAGCCTTTGAGGAATATTAGCATTCTAGATGTATTATGATTTTGTTAACGTACTAATGTATTGCCATATTGTTAAAAATAAACAAAAGCAAAAGGTTTCTTATATGTACATTGATTGTAATGAAGATATATGTTACATACTCGAGGAGAGATTTTCCCTACAACTAGGAAAGAGATGCTGTTCTTATCCATGATTATTGATCTTTTACGTCCAAAAAAAAAAAAAAAATGAAATGAGAGAATTGGGTGGGTGTGTGTGAGTGTTGGGGGGGGGGGGGGGGGAGAGAGAATACTAAGATGCTAACTGGAAAACAGATGCCTGTAATGCCTTCATGGCTGGCCTTGAAGACCGGCTACCTCACAACTCACTACCTCGTTAATCAAGTCTTTAAATATCAAGCGTTCTATGTCTAGCACTGCCTGAGGAACCTCACTACTGTAGTCAGTCCAATTTTCTATTTTATCCTCACTTGAGAAGCTTATCAAGCATTCATCATCTGAGCTGCAGTTTCTGTTGGCTTGGAGACGGTCTATCTCTGAACACAATTCTTCCAGAAGCTTCTGTCCATTGGAGCGTCTTCCTTTTAATCTATTTGGAGAGATCCATACCTCAGAAGAAGCTGGAGAAGCTAATTTATGGACAAGAATCTCATTGACGGTATCAAATACAAGTTTTCTTTGGATTCTCTCTTTGGATTTTGACTGGGTAACCTTTTTATGGCTGTGTTCATTGTTTTGGAGCTCGGTGCTTCCCTTGGTTTGTTCCAAGACAAGGAACAAATTGGGGTTGATCAAATGGCCTGATGGGTGGAGCTGAATGGTTGTTAGACTAGAGCCTAGATTTTTTAGAAAACCTGATGCTAACAGCATCTCAGTGATGTATCTGTGGTCTGAATTCGTGTTTTCACTAATAGATGCAATGCAACCTGTGGTAGCTTCATCATGATTAAAGTTCAGTCGTTTAAGCTTATGCACCAAGTGCTTGACGTCCTCTAATTTTTTATGGTTGACCTCAGTGCTGAGATTGGGTCTTGTGCTGTTCAGTAAGTGATCTTGATCCACTGGATTCCATTCTGCTCCATTGGAATTGAGATTCTCATCATCTGTAGAGTAAAGAGAAAATGAGGTTCAAGAAATATAGTGAAGTTCCATTAATCATTCCATACATCAGGTCGTAAAGATAAAATTAAGAGTAACTCTCTCACTATTTTACCATTTCTGAACTACCACTGTTCTGCATATTTTGGAAGTTGAACTAATGTCTTACTATTTCTTGCTTAGTAAGGTTTTGTGTTGGACTACCAACACAATCGGGTCAAGAAGCCATGACCAAGGAAGCTTACATCTAATGTATCAAATATAAAAAAAAAAAATTAACACTTTGTAAATGGCCATGCTGAAGTTGAAACTGTTGCTCTTTCCATGGAAGAATGCATTTGTTGGATTTGTAAAAAGAATATGACATGAGTTTAAGCTATGTCTTTGTACAATTTATGTTTTCCTTATTCATCTTTACTTTATAGCAAGCGGTATATTGATAAAGCCATGTCTTTGTACAATTTATGTTTTCCTTATTCATCTTTACTTTTTACCAAGCAGTGTACTGATATTTATCTGTTTGTTAAATATAGCAACTGTTGCACCCTCCTGCACTAGAAATAAGACAATTTCAAGTTTGAACATACTGGCAGTGTACTGATATTTTCAAGTTTGCATGGCAGATGCTTAACAAAACAAGAACCTTACCTTTGAAAGCATTTGATATCTTCTTCACAGGAGATGGCAAGTCTTCTATGTAGAATGTAGCATCAAGAACGGAAACAGGACTTGGTTGGTCCAAGTTAGCTGTTGTAAGTTCAGCCACTGACTTGTCTTCGCTTAACCTTGCCGCTAGATTCTGATCAGGAAATATGAAACCTGTTAGCCAGTAAATTAGAATGATAATACGAAAACCAAATGTAGGAACACTTACTTGATTTCTCTGGTCTTTCTGCTGGTATATGCCACTGACTTGGTTGCAACAACTGGAGCTTTCTGTGTCAATCTGTGAGGCCAAGCTAATGTTGCTTTCTGATTGCAAAGAAACCGCATCACTTTCGCAACTCAAGTTTTGCATTTCATAACTGATCTCACTAAATTTTTCACTGCCTTGCCTTAGACTGGGAGATTTTGGTTTGAGTCTTCTACTCTCTGAGCCCGATTCTGTTGGTTGCTTTCTGTTTTGCTGCCTGGCCCTGTTCCGAACGGATGACGAGGTGGTGGGACGAGATTGCTTCTCCACTACATGCTTCTTTTGTTGCAGTCTTGGGCTTATCGCATCTGAACTCCTTCCAGAGATGGTAGGATTTTCTATCATCATATGCTGAGTAGCCTTTGAAATTGGCATTGATCTCAAAGTTCTGGCACTTGTGCTTTTCTTCATGGAATGAAGAGGCTGACCAGAAGGGTCTGTAAGATGATTGCTTCTCGGAGTTAGATCTTTAGCTGTTTGCTTGTCATTCAGACCCTTTCTGCTATTTGCAGAGTCACCAGTCCGGAGTTTCCGGAGACATGATATTCCATCATTTGGGATTGTAGAGCAACCAGAGTTTCTGGGCCTTTCGATAAGTTTGGCTGGTTTTATGATCACAATTGGGGATTCAGATCTTCTTGGAGAACTCGGCCCCCTGATGGTGGGAGAAATTGGAAAGTTACTATTCTGGCTCCGCTGGGTTGTTATTTTAGAACTCTGATCGAGGCTGCAGTGTCCTGGGCTGTAATTGCTTTTCGGAGACTCAACATTCGAGACATGCTCTTCTCTTTTGCTCTCTGACCTCTTTCTTGTCTTTTCCATTGCTTCAATAATCTGTTTAAGAGCTCTGAGATCCTTGCCAGATTTCTTGAACTCAAGTTCAGTCAATCTTTTCTCAATTTCACCATAAACTGTAGGAGACGGATTGTGAGCCTTTGTTTGAGCTTCCCGATAGATGAAAGCTGGTTTTTGAGAGAATTGACTCCCTTCTGGCTTCCTCCGTGGAACTGGTTCAAGTGGAGATCTTGAATTTGAGTTTGGTTTAATGATCGAGTTCACATGTCTCAATCGAGGTGAGATAGGGTCCCTTTGGGAAATCCTTGGGGACCCAGAAACCTGACTCTGCTTGCTGTCATCAGCTATTCTTGACAATCTTGAAATTCCATTGGAATCTTCATATGTGCAGGATTTAATCTCCTTGATCTGACCCTCATTAGTTGGCATGGAATCTGGAAATGCTTCCAATCCCATCAACTTTGCCACTATGATAGATGATCGTTTATTACTTCCTGGCTCTTGCTGTGGGTGCAGGATTTTGTTGCAGTTCCGATTTGCCCGCTCTAGATCCCCTAATAGAAAATTTGCTCTTGATTCAGAGGAGCAACTCCTTGTGGAACCTGCTCTACTATCCAATGAAAGCCTTGGGAGCTCTTTGATCTTTATATTGGATTTCAATATATCTCGTGATTCCCTTTCATCATAAGAGAACCGCGTAGCATCCTTCACTGTCAAGGACAGAGGACCATCCTTCTCTTTACTGGAATTCCTTGGTGCTTCCCGAATCTTAGCAAGAACTTGAAATGATTCATCTAGACCGAAAACTTTATCCTTATCAGATTTGGAAAGCTGTGATGGCCTTGGAGAATCTATGTGCTTCTTGACATGGCCAATTCTTTCCTCTTTGCTTATTGTTTTAACTGATAACCCATGGGGTTCTCTGTAGATTGAGTCCTTCACAACGTCACGGAGATTGGGGGACTGCCGGGCTGACTGCAAAGACGAATTTTGCTGTTTCATTGGTAAGGTCTGAGATAGGGTTTTGGGGGATATGCTGTGGCCGAAGGAGAACGTATCTGGCTGAGCTGTTCTATTGCGATCAATTGATGAGAACGTAGATGAGCAAGAAGAGGATGAAAAAGAAGTGGTGGATGAGTCGACAGAGACTCTTTGTTTCTCTTTCACGGCGTCCTTCAGATCTTTCTCCTGCAATTTCAAGTAATGCATACTTAAAAGAATCTACTGGTCATATAATATTGACTGTTTCTGCTGTTTTAAAATCTTACTGTAGCTTTCTGTGTTGTCCTGTTGGGCTCCAATCCATGATTGGCACTTTGACCTACAGAAAATCTTGAAATTTTAGATGCTGAAACTGGCAATGCTAATAGATTTACATATACAGAAATTCTTGAACTAATAGTGCTACATCTACAGAAAAAGAAAGGTTAGATGCTGAAACTAGCAGTGCTAATTGTTTTAGGTTAGATGCTGAAACTAGCAGTGCTAATTGTTTTACATACTCAAGGTTATAATTAGGAAAAAGAAATATATATTCAAGCTTGCTAAAAATAAATAAATGAAAGCTAAGTAAAAAATTATTATAACAAAGCATAGCAAATCAAAAATAAGGACAAAGCATTGTTAATACAGAGGCAAGAACTGATTCTCACACTAAACTTTTAGGGTACATCATTGGAAGATACTGGTGAATTGGTGATGTTATAGTGGAGAATGACTCAACTTTTTTAATGCAAAATTCATCCAAATATGAAGAAATTGTCGGAAGAAATTTACAACCATAAAAATTACTTTAATATCATTTTTAAGCATTTATCAATCTATAGCTAGTTCTTAGTCTTAGAGTCAAAGCATCCGTTTCTACTTTCTATCTTTTTTCATCATTCTATTTGATCAGGAGCCTGCTAGGCTGAATATAGGTTATTTGAATATTAAGAATAAGAACTGTTGATGGACAAATAATAAATCATTTATTAATTTATATGCCTTTAGACTGGGAAAATGAAAGAAAAAGAAGCCCATGACAGAATCATTGACAAGATGTTAATTAACGATTTTTGAAAGAATAAAAGATATTGATGAGGTTAGTACAATTAGAACGTGTGCATGCTTGGATCCATTAAAGTTAATCATATACCAATAATAGACAAATTCATGAAATATAACTTTCTTATAAATCAAGTTGAAGATGCACATATTGAAGCAACTAAGGTAGCATAAAGCCTTAAAATTGAAGCCTAACCATGATAGATGAAAATACCTGGTGGTAGTCTCTTGTGGTTGTGGCCACTGACCCGCCGCCTGGCAAGAAAATGGTGGCGGTCGAAGATTTGAAAAATTCCATTCATACACCCAATATGCTTCTGCATATCTGGGTTTTCTTCTGTTAAAGAATATATAAACTTCGCAGACATCTCCACCTCTTTCCTTCAAATTCCAGAAACCGAAAAACTCACTATCAGCTGTTTTCCTTCCCTTGATTGTCTTTCAGTGATTTTCAGACTCAATCTTCAAGAATTTATGGAAAATTTAGAGGAATCCCAAGAAGAGAGATTCAGTGCATGCATTAACTTGTAACAAAGTGGGCATGAGCTATACCAATTATAGTTTTTCTTAGCATGTGCTTTACATGAAAAAATTGCACGCTTAGACTTCAAGTGACTTTTTCTATGTGCAACTGAAATAAATTTTTTCTTGAGTCATGCTTTTGGGGTTCTATAAAGAACTAAAAGAATAACATAAGAGAATGAAAGAATGGACTTGAAGGGAGACAGACAAGTCACAGAACCCAATCATTTCTGTGGCGACTGAGTATTGAAGTTCTTTTTCTAGATTTTGCAGAACAAGACAGATAATATCTATTGTGAAACCCAAAAGGATTAGCAAAGAAATTGAAGGGACCCAATACCAAACAATTACCACTATCGCGCACCTTCTGTGCTTCAAGATATATCAATGCAGATTGTAGGGAAGATCTGCAGACCCAAGAAGAGATGTTTTTTTGGGTTTCCTCGCAGAACAAAAGAAAACAAGTTATGCTTTGTCTTTTGGCTCTCTCTAGGGAAGGCTGCTGGGGGGTAGAATTTAGAGGGGATGTGTTGTAAATTTATAGAGGTAGTGAGTTATTAATTTGAGGACACAGCGCTGGCAATTTTTGAGAGAGAGAGAGAGGTGTTTGTGGAATGTGTGGGTTCAGATCTGCAATGGTCATTTTCTTCCACTTCCATGTTGACAAAATAATGTGATTGGCTCTGGAGTCTGGACCTCTTTCTTTACGTGGGGCCATGGGTATGTGGAGCCTTATAGGGAAAGAAAGATACAGGAAAGCAGATTTATGAACTGGCATAGTCTTATGAAGCTCCTTTGCAAGCAATCCAAATCAAATTTATCATAATGCGCTTCAATGGGTTCTCATCTTATGACCTGGTAATAGAGAAAACACTGTACATAACGTGCATCTGACATTTCGGCTCAACTTAATTTAACTTGATAAGAGTTTCTTTTCATCAGGTTAGTTACATGATTTTTCTTTTCCCCACTCTAATCATAGTATTAAATTATCAATCAAACCACATGCTATCTTAATACATATTATATATATTTATTTAACTATCTCCACATACCAATGTTTCAATTGTGTATTCCTTTTATTTTTAAGGGTTGGTTGTGATTTTTTTTTTTTTGCAACTTGCCCCTTTAAATTAATGATATAGCATTTCACCCCCCATATACTATACCGATATAAAATAGTTGTTAAAGCACTCGTGTGCACATCACAAGATGTTAATTTTTTTCTTAATTCTCATTTTACCGTTATAAATACCTATAAAATCTCTCAGCCCTCTTAGTCTCTTCCCTCTCCCACAACGTCCTTCATTGGAGATGAAAAAGGTCTCAATTGATTGAATCTCTGTCTCGACTATGAAGTTCTAATTCCAATTTTAGTGTTCATATGATTTATTTATACCCATATGGCCTTATAACAAAACAAGTCGCATAGTGTGGACGCCGTCTGATAGGAATATAAATTAACGTTATAACTTTCTTTTATAATTTATGAAGGGGTAACATGGTAATTTTACTATGCGCTTAACGGCAACCAAACAGAAGTTACACAATTGGTCTTCTTTGCAAGTTTTTAATAGTTCAAGGAGACAAAGTCTTTCAGGAAGAGAAGTTGCAAAGTTGTACAGGACAAGGGAATTTCTCCCTATTTTAATGTTTTTATACTTTTCATTTGCTTAACAGTATAAATGTTATCATAGGTCCATCTTATCATTCGTCAAATGAATTGCAATGAATATTATTTGGTTTCTAAAATGTCAATGTTGCCAGTTTTAGTAACTTTTCATGCATATTACTTATTTGACATCCTCCAATTTAACCCTTTTGTCCAGTTTAGGTTAGGTGATACAAGTTGCTGATATTTACTTTCCTACTGTGAGGTTTTCAATGCTTGCTATTATTGAGGTTGCAGAAATCATAAATTTCTAGTTCAAGGAATCCTTGGTAATTGTCTTCACCATGCAGAATGGTATCATTGTGGAGGATTTGATTTGTAGCAAAACAATGATGGGATTTTTTTCTGACATGTATTTTATTTAACCAAAAAAAAAAGGAGAGAAGAGAAGAAGAAGAAGAAGAAGAAGAAGAAGGAGAGAGAGAGAAGTAGATTCTCACTCTAGCCATATTGACTATTTTCATGTTATATGATGAATATGTTTGATGATAAATAATATTACGTATATGCATTGAAGTTCTATTATGAGATTGTAAATGTTTTTATCCTTAAATCCATCTTTCTAAATGCTTTTTAAGGTATGCTATTTTCATCCTAAAAACCATACCTTCTCAATTCAAGGAAAAATATGCAATGATACGAATGCATTTATCTTTTGACAGTAGGATCTTTTACCAGTGCACAGGGCATACTGACCATTGTACCTAACTTTGTACACTTGGACAAATTGTGGTCTAATAATATATAGACCATGTTTACCACAATTTAATGTGATGACATCATGTTGAAGCTGGCATTTGAAATTACTGTACCCCTTAGGGTTTCCCAAACCCCCCTTGAGCGTGGTAGTATGTATCATTTTAAATATATGGTTTAGAGGTCATTGATTGGTGGGTGCAATGATAAATGATAAAAGTTTGAATGGACAAATGTAATGGAGTTGAGTCTCCGAATAGTTTATTATATGTAAAATAATGTTGAACTTTAGATTTTTTTTTTTTCCGATCTTTTCCTCTCAGCATCTGTATGGAATGTGACTTACCTTCATCCACTAAGCATATTCTTTTTTGTTTAGTCTCTGTATATTATTCTCACAGTTGAATGAGAATAGCAGGATTAAGGGAAAGCCAAATAGAAATTAGAAGAATCACAGATCTTATATGATGAAGGAAAGGAACAAACATGTGCACCCTCCTAAAATTGGGAAGTTAATGCTTGTTTTGGTGCCAAATTGTGCCCAAGAATTTGCTTGAGACGCCGCCTAAACGGGTAACAGCCCAACAACACAGGTTAATGTTCACATCCCACATGACATGGTTATGGTTGTGATGTAATTTATTTGGATTCATGCACAAAGTCATTACAGGTCATTGCAGGTGGGACTACTCAAAACACCTATGTTCAATATGACTAGTGCTCACAGCTGTGGCAGTTTTTTATTGTCCAGAAGTTGGTGTGAAGTGTGAAAAAGAAAGAAATGTATGAACTCACAGGTAGCATTCCAATTCCATACCCTTTACTAATTTTGCCTTGTCTTTTAAGTATTACTTTGAGGATTTTTCTTGTGTTTCCTGGGAAATTGATCCCACTAAGGAACTCTTATTTTATTAAGTAGTCAAAAGTTTATTATTTTCAGGTTAACACATGTTATTAACTTATTGTACACTCTCAATTGGGGAATAGAATGGAGTTCAAATTAGAAAGCGGGTTGCGCGCTGTTTTATCATGATACAGGGAAGAGGAATATACAAGGCAATTTACTGAATTGAAACATAGAAGTTTCTAGTATGGCTGCTGTATTTGAAGGGGCTTTAGGTTGTAATTATTGGAAAATGATATATATTTAAAAAAAAAAAGAAAAAAAAAAAAAAACAGCTGTTATGGTTGCTGTTTCAAAGACATATGGCTCCCCACCACATCATGCGTTGTTGAAAATTGCTTTCCTCCCACAGGTCATGATTTCATGCTTTGTCGGTTATATTTTGCTTCTCATAATCCATGATATATAAAACAATAATTTTGAGGATCCTTTGGACATGATATATTTGCATAATTTAGAACTTAATGTGTCTTCTTGTTAATCAGCAGTAGATACAATACCCACATGATTAACAAGTTGTTGCTGATGATATGTAATAATATGAAATAATGAGCTTCACTTATTCCCCGCATCCACTTCCCTAGTCTATGTGTGACCGTGTGTCAAAATCTAGAAATATGATATTATGACATGAAATATAATTTAACACGAGTGTCTCAACCAGAGAATGTGTATAGTATTCTCATGCATATATGTTGATTGCAATCTAGTGATGTGAACTTATAGCTAATACCTGCCAATATTGAATCCAAATGAAAAGAACAAACTTAGTGCACGAGGCTGTCTTGTCTCATACGGGTGAAATTATTTACAGAGTAATGCTATACAGGCTGGTTCTACTTTTATACTATCTTCTTATTTATGACCAAGGTATTGTAGTACAATTATTTCTTCAAATAACTGTAGCATTCAATGCATTAAGAGAATAATGCCTACGATGGCATATTGGAAATGAAAAGATATATATATATATATTCCTTGCATGCATGGGAAGGTATCTGTGTACGTATATTGTACATTTTGCATACATTTTATGTATGCGAGTGTATATATTGGGTAAGTTATATATGTGGCTAATTTAACTAATATCCCATAATACATTAAAAATTTGTGGGGTTGATTGTGATGGTTGAGATTGTGATTATACAGGGGGGGTGCATGGGCACGTGATAAAGTAAAGAGATTGCATGAGGGATGACTTAGTTGTTGCACTAGGCAAGGACCAACCTTAGCTATAACCTATAATCCTATACTATGTATCAACCCACCACCCACCCAATCCCCATTATTCACACATCATTGTCCCCACTTTCCTCCCACCAAATTACCATGTGCATTAACACACAGTATAATAATTGGTACTTGTGCAAGTCAATTCTAAACGGTATTATCCCAAATTGTTTACTTAATCATATGAAGAATAGTATTAATATTATCCATAAACTATTCACATTCGCAAGTTCCAAAAAGGATTCAACATTGTGTGGCCATCAAACAAAGACTAGATTGGGGGGATGGACCTTTCAATTCTAGTAGACTAGTAGATCTAAAGTTTGAGAGAAATTTTTACATGGTGTTGATAAATCACATGTAAAAAAAATATGTCAATTTTATTTACGTGTTAGGTTATAATTAATTATAATTATGTAGTATCGAGAGATGTAATAATTTCTCTTAAATTTTGGTTGCTGGAAAACCGATTTTTGAAGATAAATATCTTTTTAATGAAGCACAATAATTGAGGAAGGCATAGCTCTTTAGATTGTTATTGCTAATTCAAGGCAGAACATGTTGAGGAAGGCTTGAAACCCACATAACTCCACTTGGTGGATAATTGCCTTCAATTACCATTAGTGCCGCAATCTAAGAAGCATTAATTCTCTTACACATATTCATAGTTTAGAAAGTAATTAACTCAATTAAAAATTTAAATTCCAAAAAGATGAAATTAATTAATGAAGATTGAAGAGCAATTCATACAATCAAGTTGACAGGTCATTGGGATCTAAAAAGTCTTTTAATGCACATGACATGTTATTAATGACCAAGTACTAATTGGGTAGTTTATAAAAAAAAGTCCAAATATCAATCAATCTAGTTATGATTACGTGTGACGATTTGGCACGCATTTTCCTTAGATTTTTATCTTCTTCAAGTACCAACTAGGATCCCCACCAGCCACATTAGTAGGTAGGAAACATGAAATCGTACATTTGTGAATTATATATATATATATATATATATGGGCGAGTTGCAAAAAAATTTCTTCAACTATTAGACAATTATAAAAAAAATTTCTTATGAATATTTTTGACAAAAAAACTTTCTTAAATTATTTCAAAGGGTGTTTTTAATTAATGTCTATTTAAGTGATTGTTTAAGTAAATTTTTCAAACGAAATTACCTTTAACATATTATTATTCAGATAATTTATTTATTTCTTTTCTCTTTTTTCTCTCTTTGTCAAGCAAGGTATGTGAAGTAGTAAAGAAAAATTCCAAAATAATAATAATAATAATGAAAAGTCAATAAAATCATATTTAAGTTGTGTATAATTAATAAAATAAAATTAAGTTCAATCGCACAAGAAATAGAAAATCAAGAACTCCTTCAGTATAGGGGCGGAGTCAAGATTTTATTTCAGAGGGGGCACAATACACTTGTTAAAAAAAAAAAAATTTAATTAATATAACCATATAATTTTTATAAATCAAAAAGGCAAATAAGAAAAAAAATAGTTATAAAATAGTATGCTAAATAAATACAGTAAAAAAAAATATAGTTACAAATATAAGAATTAAAATATTAATTAATAATATTTTAATTAAATACAGTCACAAATGTCATCGATAAAAAGAAATAAGTTTAAAAAAAATAAAAAAATACATAATTATACATAAGTGAAAAAAGAAATTTTTTGAAAAAGGAAACAAAAATTAGAAAAGGAAAAATATATTGTATACTTGAAGAAGGGATATATGTAATTTTTTTATTTTTTTTTCAAAAGAAAATTAAAAGAATTTGAAAATTTGAGGAGGGCACTATTTAAAATTATCATGTAAGTATATATATATATATATACCAAAAATATGTACCTATATATAGTAGGTTGGAGCAAAGTGAGGGCCTCTAGGCCTTAATTGGTTCCGCCCTGTGTACTTGTTCTTTAGCGGCCATTATAATAGTTAATTATTTTAAAGAAAATAATAAGAAAATAATTAATAATTTGCTATGTTTCTTTAGTCCAATTTCTTTCTTTTCCTTAATTAAATTATACTATTACAAGGTAAGTGGACTAAAATTGGTAATTAAAAAACAATATAATTTCTTTTTCAAATATGAATTTTTTTTTTTTTTTTTTTTTTTTTTTTTTTTTTAACTTACGTCCAGAACACAAAATACTCCAAATTCCACCACCTACTACTAGAAAATTACATACCATGTGAACGAAGTATAGGGAGTAATTTTTGGAAAGAAACAAAGGAAACATAACATTTTTTACATTCAAATGATTTGTTCAATTACATGGATGAAATCATGACCAAAAATAATAATAATAATAAAAGTAAATAAATAAAAATAAGTCATAGATTAAGTGAGTATAGATGAGTATTCTTGGGATTCAACTATTATTTACATGTGCTATATCATATTGTCTAATCAGTGTTAAAAGATAAATTTTCAATAATTAGGTTCCTGGATCTGTTGTTAGTTTTGTATTTGAAGAAATGAAAAAGTTTGCTTGGCACGGAGAGAGAAGAGAGAAAAAATAAATAAATTGTTTGAAGAATAATTTATTAATGGGTAATTTTGTTAAAAAAATTTATGAGACAACCACTTAACAGATATCAGTTTAAAATATCCTTTAAAATAATTGAGGGAAATCTTTTACCAAAAATATTGAGAGATTTTTCGGGTAATTAATAAAAGAAATTTTTTGCAATTCGTCCTGTAATATAAATTTTGGGGAAGTCGTTTTATATTTACCGTAAGTAACACAACATACATGAGATTCATCCAATCATCTAAAGGTGGGGTTACAAGGATAGGTGATTGCATGTTTAAGGTCAACACCTACTCTCTGTGCAGTGAAGAAAAATTGGAGACACGATGATGGTTAGCCAAAGTCATGGGTAGGTCCACTGCAACAGACTGAGAGTCTGAGACTTACAGTGGTGCTTCATTATCTGTAACGACATATGGCACATATGATTTTGGGCCTGTCTTTTCTTTCAAACTGGCCGTGCGATCCAAATGCTTGTGTGTCATTTGAATGTGATTGGAAAGCTTGGTCATAACTTTAAGAAATTAGTTTACCAATCAAAAATTTTCATTAAGGATGACCATAAGTGAGTTGGATGGGATCAAAGCCCTAATTAAAATTTAAATGGGCTGGGCCAGAATGGCCCATTCTTGGCTGGCTAAAGTGGCCACATTCGGTGGTAATTATTGAATTAATTATCAAAACCCTTTATTTAGAAGTAACAGACTAAAGAATTTTGAAGAATGATTCTGAAAATTGAGAGACTGCCATATTGACAATTGGTTCAATACATGAAAAATAAACTTCCATAAATAAATCCATTGATGGCCTTGAGGGATTACATAATTAACAATTTGATTTGTCACCGCGTTACTCTTCTTGTAAGCCCACAAAAATCTGAAGGGACAGATAGATATACAGAATTTGCATCCATCTGTTTTAGTTGACTTTTGACCTTTGACCTTAAAATCTGATCAAGGTATCAAGAGCATGTGCCAAGTTCATGACCAAATAAATAACACTGTTACCATTGAATTTCGATGATGCTAATGATTTATAAATAATGTTTGACTTTCTACTATCTTTATGATAGCAGATCAAGTACTTTGATTTTTATTTTCTGGTACCATGCCCTTGATCATGTGGACTCCCGTTAGATCAAGGGTTGAGCTTGAGCAATCATAATCATGAAAATTTGAAGGTCCTAGATAATTGTCAGCTTTTGAAAATGTCAAAAAATTTAAGCTGCATCACGTTTCAAGTGAAGCCCATGTAGCACCGGCATTAAGTGACCTTAAAAGGAAAAAACAAGTCAGGCTTCAATTCTAACATGGTACAATTTATGCACTACATTAAAATTGCACAAGCCATCTACACTAAAACCTCCGGATATAATATATGAACCAAAACTCAGAAGCTATGGAAAATAATTGCTTGCATTGATGGTAAGTCAATCTGATCAAATCATATACAATTATATTATTACAAAATCAATATCTCCCACTGCAACCTAGAAAGAAAAACTTATTATTCATCCCTACATGGTATGTCTCATATTCTGTTGTGGGGTGTGTGACAAAATTACTATTAAAAGAATGGGCAGAAAAAAAAAATCACAACAAAACAACAAAATGCAGCTTGACTTTCAACCTTGGTATTCTGGTTCTTACAAATAGACGCGATGGATGCCCATCAACAATAAGGCTCAACATCAGTAAAGGTCTCTAACCACCGACTACCCTCTACCATAGCCACGCAGTATCAATTGGAACTTAAAATCAGTCCTCAGCATATAGGAGTTCCCCAAGAAGTAAGCAGCTCCTCTGTATCGTCTTGTGACCACCAGCATGTCTCTAGACACTGCATCAATACTATAGTATAGAAGCGTGCGTATTTTCCCTCCTATTAAAGGCGGATATCGTATTATGCTCAATACAGTGATGTGACAAGGTGGCAAATATACGAGAGTGATCCCCTCCCCAGAGAAAAAAGTAGGAAGGGTGAAAAAAGGAGGAACAAAATAGTGAAAAGCTAAGTAACTCGTACATGGCATAAACAAGCAGAAGATAGACCTAAGATATGCCGAAAATCACACTATCTTCTGGTTGGTACCAACAACTGACTAGAGATAACTGTGTTATAGAAACCCCAAGATGGACTTCTATCATTGATGGCATTTTTACCAAATGGATGGTGCTCCACATATTTCTGTATATTTTCAGCGGCCACTAAATTTTCCAGATATACTCGAAGATCGCCTCCAGGACCTGTAGTGAAGTCATTTAACATCATAAATATTTGACCTTTAATGATCCCTCCCCACCCACACCCCCCCAACACACACACACCAACCAAAAAAAAAAAGCATTTTGTTGTACCAAGTAATAAATGAGACACAATGAGCAGCAAATTATAAAAAATAAAAAAAATTAGAAGAAAAAAATAGAGAAAAGATCAACTTAGATGTAACCACACTTGAGAGATTCAACACCCATATAGCAGATTTAATCCATCCAAGGCTCAAACCATATTGCATTTGTCACGAGTACAAAAGGAAGGAATTAGTGAATATATCTAAGGCATCATACTATTTATAAAGAAACATAAGATGAAGACACACCCAAAAATTAAAAAATAAAAACAGAGAGATTATATTGCAAGACGCCTTACCTAATGAATTGTCGCTCCTGTCTATGAAGTAGTATGAATAAGGGAAGATTGCAGTGTGCATCTAAATAATAATATTTACACAATAAAAAATAAGAATCAGGGCACGAATCAAAATATGAAAACTGAACTTAGAAATGAGGCTTGATGTAAAGAAAGTGAAAATAGAAGCAACAAGCTTACAGGATTGAGCAAGGCTTTGTATGGAGAATCATCCAACAACAATGTGTTTGACTCGTTATAATCTCCCTTCTTCCATGGAAGATTAGAATCATATTTTTCCCATACTTTTCTCAGCTCTTTAAAGACCAAGGGCTTGTGCCTGTTTTCAAGAGTTTTGAACTGTGTCACAGTGCTGTGGGATAGATCCTGCAAATTCCGATAGTAAATACATATCACCTGTTCTCCATTGTTATGTGAAATTGAGAGGAAAAAATGAACAAAGTTGATAAGAAATGCATTGACTGAAGTTTGAAGTCTTGATAAGAAATGCATTGACTGAAGTTTGAAGTCTTGATAGATTTTAGATTTTATATATTTTTAAAAAGAAAAGAAAAGAGAGGGGAGAGAGAGAGAGGAGAAGAAGAAGAAGAAGAAGAAGAAGAAGAAGAAGAAAAAGAAAGAAGAAGAATTTGTACAGATGTTTTGATAATCTGTACCACAAAACCTTTTGCTCAGGTGGTATCTCCTCCTTCCAAATGGAAGGTTGAGTGTTCAAGTCCCATTGGGGGCATTAGTGAGTTTGTGTAACTTACCTAGAAAAAGAGTTCCATAATAAGTAGCATTGATTTGTTTCATGTATATTAATTTCCCAGCAACTATACAATATGACCTACAGGAATAACATACGATAGTATTCATGTAGCCATAATACTCTATCTGATGGAGTAACATTGGCTGATTTCGCTTTCTGATATATATTTTCAAATCTGCTTTCATATTACAATCCAAAATGGACATCACTCAGATATTCCCAGCCATCTAACTTATGAACCTCTATATCAATAACTGATCTTTATCACCGTTAATAACAATATTTAATCATTAGATGATGAGGAAGGTCTACTTTGTGAAATTTTTTAGGGCTATGGTCCAGCAAAGTGGCTCAAATCTTATCTGCCTAAACTGATAGAAGCACGCTAAGCATCAACTGATGCAACACCTTTGCTACCATACATGCACCAGAGGATAGAGGTTGAAAAGAAACTGATATTTCCCCTCTCGCATGAATAAAAACTTGAGATAAAAAAAAAAAAAATGAGATGGGAACAATTCAAACATTTTTCTGTTCATAAATTTTTAATACAGAATTTGAAAAAATTAAACAGACACCTTTGAAGGCTTACCCAACAAAAAAGCAATTTGTGCTTCAAATCTCCCAACAAATAATCAACCACTCTATCGATGACTTTCCTGTATACACTATATGGTTAGAACTTAAGAAATTAATAGAAAAAGTAGGCAGCTACTGAAACAAGAGAATAATTATTTCTAGGAGTTCAATCAATATGCAAGAGAAGTCAATGAAATAACCAGCATAGGTTGAAGAGTACTTAGTTCTCGAAGACCAAATACCGACATCAAATTTCTCAAAGCAGAACTTCAGAAAATCATAGCAAAAGGGTCTCTTGAAAACTGAAACAGAAAATCAATCAATGCATTAAGTTTAAAAAGTTCATGCACAGTAAATGCCTCCAACTTTATCAACAATATAAGCTTTAATCGTCAGTGTTTCCAAATAACAAGTAAGAAAGCATTCTCACCTGCCCGTCCCAGGATGTTTATGTCTGATTTACACACCTTTGGCGGGGGAAAAACGATATCAGCAAGCAGCCCATTTAAATCAAGAATGAGAAGTTTTCTCCTTGAATAATTAACAAGTGATCTTTCTGGTAAAGGATGTGAAACCTCCAATAAGTTATCCCTTTTACTAATAATAGCTAAAGGAACATGCTTGGTTACAATCGTATCAAAGGAACGATTTTTCCTTTCGATCTTGCTTTCAGTTGCAGATACCTCAGGTTTTTTTTCACCAGAAATAGAAGATCCTTCTACTGCTTGCAGAATATCTTTTTGATCGGTGCTTCCAAGGCTATCTTTATCCATAGACATCCTCAGACTTCTGGTTCTCCTTTTCCGTCTCTTCTTTTCTAGAGGTGCACTCTCTTTCTTTCCATTGTTGGTTAAATCTGTATCAATCTTTGGAGCTTCATGAACCAGATATTGTGGAGCTGAGTGCATATCTTGCACATTGCTCATAGCCACTGAAATATTACTGTTGTTCTCTGGAGTTTCAATAGACTTCATTTTTTCTCTCATTTTCCTGTTCTTTATTTGAGCTGGACACTCTTTGATTGCATTGTTGGTTAAAGCTGTATCAATCTTTGGAGCTTGATGAACTGGATATTGTGTAGCTGAGTCTACTCCTAACGGCATATCTTGCACATTGCTCTTTGCCACTGAAATAATGTCACTGTTGTTAAAGACCTCTGGATTTTCAACAGACCCAATCGCTCTTTCTCTAATCTTCCTATTTTTTTTTTGGGCTGCACTCTCCCTGACAGGATTGTCTGCTGAATCTGTATCAATCTTTGGAGGTTCGAGAACTGGACTTTTTGAAGTTGACTTTGCTTCTGGGAGCATATCTCGCACATCACCCTTGGCCACTGAAACAATATCAATGTTGTTAGAGACTTCTAAATTTTCAACAGACCCAATCGCACTTTCTCTAATCTTCCATTTTCTTCTCCTCCTGTTCTTTTTTTGAGCAGCACTCTCTTTGACAGGATTGCTGGCTGAAGCTGTATCAATCTTTGGAGGTTCAAGAACTGGACTTTTTGGAGCTGAGTTTGCTTCAGGGAGCATATCTCGCAAATCACTCTTGGCCGCTAAAACAATATCACTGTTGTTAGAAACCTCTGAATTTTCAACAGACCCAATCGCTCTTTCTCTAATCTTCCAGTTCTTTCTTCTTCTCCCGTTCTTTTTTTGAGTTGTACTCTCTTTGACAGGATTGTTGGTTGAATCTGTATCCATCTTTGGATGTTCATGAACCAAAGCTTGTGGGGTTGAGTCAACTTCTACAAGCATATCTTGAGCATCACTTTTGGCCGTTGAAATAGTATTACTGTTCTTAAAGGACTCTGAATTTTCAATGGAGGTTCGTTTCCTTTTTCTCACCTTACCTGGATTAGTCTTCACATGAGTTAAGGTCACCTTTGTCATTTATTGTGTCTAATGTGTCCTGCAATGATAAGCATCATGGGTCAAGTACAGAAAACACCCTTAATGTATACTTTGCGTAGCGCTTTCACCTCCTATTTGAAAAAGTGTGCTAAAAACACCCCTATTCTTTTAAAATTGTGCTAAAACACCCCTTAATCAAAAATCTAACATAAAGTAATACTGTAATACCCGTTTTGCCCTTTTACTCTTTTGAAAATGCCCAAGGGGGTGTATGCAAATAATCTCATAGTATAGGGATGTTATGTGCACATTAACTATATTTAACCCACTTTTAAGGATTTTCTTTCGCCTTTTCGAAAAAAGTTTCTCTCTATATATTTCCACTTACAGTGAATTCTCTCCTAAAAAAAAAAAAAAAAAAAAATTGTTGTCACAATTGTCAGATTAATATACAATACATCATATGTAATGAAAACTTCAATTCCTTTTATAATTATAAAAAAGAAAAAACTTATTTCCAATTAAATTTTAATATAGTTATCAGTTTTCATTAAATATATAATTAAATTAAGACACTTATTCATTATATATAAACAATATACATTTAATTTTTTAAACTTTAAAATTTGCAATAAATTTTCACAAATATATATATATATATATATATATATATATATATAATTCTTTACAAATGGGTATTCAATCTTTATTGAAAAAAAAAAAAAGGCCCAAACAAATGGGTGTTCAATCACCTACTGTCATCATACTATTCATATTGCGATAAAACTACATTCTCAATTAAATCTAACCCTTAAGATCAAAAGATTCAAAACAACAATAGTTTATAAAGTGTAAAACGCACCCCTATAATATGCTCATAGTGCGTATCACACCCACCATGTACTAAATGACCATTTTTGTCATTTCATAAAATGATGCATTTTTAAATAATATGTAGTGTGTAAATAAGAATAATTTAGTCAAAATATAACTTAAATGTGTCAGGAGGGACCTATTTGCATCAAATTGAAACTTAAGGGGTGTTTTCTGCACATGAGGAGTGTAATACGCACTTTAAGCATACTATAGGGGTGTTTTCTGCACTTGACCCTAAGCAACATATACTGAACATAAGCTTCAATATTATGAGCCTGAGCTTAATTTGATTGTAGTAGGTTACTAAAACGTCATACAGCTAACACTTACATATCATACAAACAATCAGACAAATAGTTTAAGATCTCCCACGGAAAAGAAAAAGTAAAGTAGAATGTTGAGGAAAGAGGAAGCATTCATCTTAGTGCCCCGACAAATTTTTATGAACCGTCTCTCAAATAGAGCTACTCTCTAAAACAATTTCCATAATGATTCTTCTTGTTGAAAAAGTAAGTACCAACAATCAGCAAAATTTCAAGTACAAGTCACAGAATACTTCCGAACGACCATATTTATAATAATGTTTTCCAACACTTCAAGTGCACATGCATAGACATAGATAACCAATTTGGTGCTTCTACTTTGTGCTCGAGACAGTTTTAGGGACACATATTTTTACAAGAAATTTAATAAAGAACTGTTGGAGGAATTTTTGATGCTTATCCACATTCAGGAGGTGGGGTAAGAAAAGAATTTTTGGTGCTTATGGTTTGAGAAAAAAGTCAGAAGATGGAGGGACAAAGAATTTAGGCCAAAGTTTTGAAAAAGACAAAACTGCCTATGATATAACAAATGTTATGGCACCTAATGAAATTGAATTAACAGCAAAAAAAGCAGAGTAAGATATTATGTGATTCTGGCATTCTGTGCTTTAAACTTGCTACTTCAGGATTTAAGTTTTCTATCACTAATTGATTACCCAAATTGGGCCAGAAGAGGTCTGGCAAACACAACTGCTAGTTTGCTGTTCTCCCTACTCATACTAGGCTTGACATCAGTTTAATGTTTTAACTATATTCTTGCCACAAGTTAAGGCTCTGTTTGGGGGAGCTTCCTAAAATCAAAAGTCCTTCATTGATAAGGCCTTCATAAAAGGAATTTTGTTAGAAGGAATTCACGAGAAAAAAGACGTTCGGCGAGTGCATTTCTTAAATGTACTTTAACTTCTAGATTATTTTTTCTTGACAATATTATCCCTCTATCCTTGACAATTATTGCAAGCCTCCAATATAAAGAGCAAAGGCAGTGGCAGTGGCAGTGGCAGAAGGTGGTGGTGGCGGTAGAGGTAGAAAGTCGCAGTGGAAGTGGCTATGGTGGTGGTGGTCGCAGTGCTAGAAAGACCAAGTCACCAAGAGAGAATATAGAACAATCTTATCAATCTATGAAAAGTATGGGGACAAATTAGTAAAATAACAAATTTATGTTAAAAAATAAATAAAAAGGGGTATCAAAAAGTAACATTTCACTTCTCTAAAATAGACTTCCTGACCGTTTGGCTTCTTGAAAAAGGCCTTTACATAACTTTTGAAGCTTGGAAAGACTTTTTGAGGACTCAGGAAGCTCCCTAAAACAGGGCATAATTTTCTACCCTATATACCTCCAGGTTGGACAGGTAATAGTTGAAAGGCTAGATGTCTAAAGGCGACCGCCTTTAAGGGGGAAATAAAAAAAGGAATTTGTAGGGGAGACGCAAAAAAAAAATAAAAATAAAAATAAAAATAAAAATAAAAAAAATTCTACATAGAGATAAAACTCAAAAAGGTAAATCATATAAATTAAGAGATGTAACTTAGGATGGACTAGCCTAAGGTCGCCCCTTTGGCCTAAGCTTAAGTTCTTCACTACAATGGTAATGGCCTCCTATATTTGCAAATCAAAGAGCTGTGACACTAGAGTCTTCTTGCAACAGAACCTACTCTTCCTGCCACAAAATTGTTCTTATTGACTTCAATTGTCTGATCTGCACTGCAACATAATCTTAATCTGCCATTTTTCTGCCATTGTTCTTATTGACTTCAATTGTCTGATCAGCACTGCTTACCGTGCGTATCACACCCCGCATGTACTAAATGACCATTTTCGTCATTTCATAAAATGATGCATTTTTAAATAATATGTGTATATAAGAACAATTTACTCAAAATATAACTTCAATGTGTCAAGAGGGACCTATTTGCACCAAATTGAAACTCAAGGGGGGTGTTTTCTGCACATGAGGGGTGTAATACGCACTATAAACATACTAGCACTTGACCCTAAGCAACATATACTGAACATAAGCTTCAATATTATGAGCCTGAGCTTAATTTGATTGTAGTAGGTTACTAAAACGTCATACAGCTAATACTTACATATCATACAAACAATCAGACAAATAGTTTAAGATCTCCCACGAAAAAGAAAAAGTAAAGTAGAATGTTGAGGAAAGAGGAAGCAATCATATTAGTGCCCGACAAATTTTTATGAACTGTTCTCTCAAATAGAGCTACTCTCTAAAACAATTTTCATAATGATTCTTCTTGTTGAAAAAGTAAGTACCAACAATCAGCAAAATTTCAAGTACAAGTCACAGAATACTTCTGAACGACCATATTTATAATAATGTTTTCCAACACTTCAAGTGCACATGAACAGACATAGACAACCAATTTGGTGCTTCTACTTTGTGCTCCAGACAGTTTTAGGGACACATATTTTTACAAGAAATTTAATAAAGAACTGTTGGAGGAATTTTTGGTGCTTATCCACATTCAGGAGGTGGGGGAAGAAAAAAAAATTTGGTGCTTATGGTTTGAGAAAAAAGTCAAAAGATGAAGGACAAAGAAGAATCATACTAGGCTCGACATCAGTTTAATGTTTTAACTACATTCTTGCCACAAGTTAAGGCTCTGTTTGGGGGAGCTTCCTAATATCAAAAGTCCTTCCTTCATTGATAAGGCCTTCATAAAAGGAATTCACGAGAAAAAAGACGTTCGGTGAGTGCATTTCTTAAATGTACTTTAACTTCTAGATTATTTTTTCTTGACAATATTATCCCTTTATCCTTGACAATTATTGCAAGCCTCCAATATAAAGAGCAAAGGCAGTGGCAGTGGTGGAAGGTGGCAGTGGCAGAAGGTGGTGGTGGTGGTAGAGGTAGAAGATGGTAGTGGAAGTGGCTATGGTGGTGGTGGTGGTCACAATGGTAGAAAGACCAACTCACCAAGAGAGAATATAGAACAATCGTATCAATCTATGAAAAGTACGGGGACAAATTAGTAAAATAACAAATTTATGTTAAAAAATAAATAAAAGGGGTATCAAAAAGTAACATTTTTTTCACTTCTCTAAAATAGACTTCCTGACCGTTTGGCTTCTTGAAAAAGGCCTTTACATAACTTTTGAAGCTTGGAAGGACTTTTTGAGGACTCAGGAAGCTCCCTAAAACAGGGCATAATTTTCTACTCTATATACCTCCAGGTTGGACAGGTAATAGTTGAAAGGCTAGATGTCCTAAAGGCGACCGCCTTTAAGGGGGAAATAAAAAAGGAATTTGTAGGGGAGAAGGAGAAAAAAAAAAAACATAGAGATAAAACTCAAAAAGGTAAATCATATAAATTAAGAGATGCAACTTAGGATGGACTAGCCCAAGGTCGCCCCTTTGGCCTAAGCTTAAGTTCTTCACTACAATGGTAATGGCCTCCTATATTTGCAAATCAAAGAGCTGTGACACTAGAGTCTTCTTGCAACAGAACCTACTCTTCCTGCCACAAAATTGTTCTTATTGACTTCAATTGTCTGATCTGCACTGCAACATAAGGAGGGTGTGGGGGGGTTGGTGTTGTAAAGAAGAAGAGTAAACCTTTTGTGGCATTAAGGATTTCTGAGATAGTATTGGAAAGAACTAAATAGATTAGGCATGCATACAGCTATTTCTACGAAAGTGGATCGTTCCAGCATGCAAAAATTGGAACAGAGAAGAAAGAAATAATTTTCATTGCTAATATTAGTTTTATAGAACAAAATCAAACCAAGAGCTGTGACAGTAGATTTCTTGCACCAGAAACTACTCTTCCTGCCACAAAATTGTTGATAGACTTCAATTGTCTGATCCACAAAGCAACATAAACTTCATTTGCCCTTTTTTTCTGCTGTTTCGTTGTTGTTATATTGACCAATATTTGTCACACAAAAATAGAAAAAAGAAGGGGGGAAAAAGAATGTGAGTGAACTTTTTGGGACACTACGGACAAAGAACATAAGGGAGTATGAAACTATACACGGATCCAAGTCTTCCTATGAAAGTGGACCACTCCAACATGCAAAAGTGGAAGAAAATAAGAAACAAATATCTGTTAATTTCTGATATTTGTTTCAAACAAAATCAAGATAGCCTATGATAGAAACTTCAAGTTATGGTATTTTCTAGTAAGAAATAGGTAACAGACTGAGGCAAGAGGAGAAAAAAGTTCATTGGGTGGGTCTGACCCCATGCAACTCAGAGACAATTCCAACACTATGGATTAGCAAATTGATTCTAAGTTCAGATGCCACATGAAGATGCCAAAAGGAGAGTAAGGATTACTGCTTAATGCATTCATGATTAACAAAAGATACAACAATAGCGTTTTGTGGCGAGAAACTAGTGATTTTTCATAAAAGCAGGATTACATCCAAGATTCGTGTAAAGTCCATATCTATTTACGATAGTGTCCAAGAAGACACTCCATGGTGTTTGTTGTTTGCAGATGACATAGTTTTCCAAGAAGACACACCATGCAAAAATGCTAACAAGATATATTATTATTGTGACATAGTGAAAATTGTATTGTTTCTCTGTATCATTGTTTGGTCAATTTGTCAAGATAAAGGAAAATACAAGACCCATAACAGCCTAAATTCTCTAAGTTTGTGCAAACATGAGAATGAGGGGCAACTGATACGGAATCTTCACTCAATAAGAAGTTTGACCGTCACCAAAGTTAAGAGACTGGATGAATTACAATACTTAAATGGATGAGGATAAAAAATAGCTTCCCCATCCATATTGGAGAAGCAAAGGCAATAACTACTTGAATGCTATGTACCTCTATAAAGAAGGGGTTAGGGCCAACCAAAAAGGTACGACACAATTCCCCATCAAGTGCCTTTTCTTTTTTTCATTTATTGTCAAGTACTAATTTGACCGTCAGAGTGCACCTGGCCGACACCGCAACGGTCGTTACTTCTTTTGTCTTGCAGGAAACGCCCCCAGCTCCAGATCACGCCGATTTTTGCATCAACATAAACAATGACCAATTTGAGTTTTATTTATATCATTCTTAATTCTTAAACATTATTAATTGTCCTTTTTTTCTAAAAAAATATTTGTTATAGCTAAATCGTATGCGTTTGAGAATTCTAAGAGTGTTTATCTTTCTCATTTCTTTTCCCAAAACTGTATGTCTCGTGAATTTATGCATATAATGTTCACTCAACACCGACATGACCCTTAAAGTCACCTCCTATAAAAGTACTATCATGACTTGGAATATTCTATATTATTAAATCTAGCAAGTACTAATATATCCATTTCAGTGTTATCATCTAATGCTTCTTATGGTGCAAAGGCGCTTATTATATTTAACAATGAAATATAAAAAATGTAATAGAATTTCACCTTGTCTTCTAACTTCTACAATGTTTTATCTCATGTAATAATCCGCTACTACATCTATTCCATTTCTATGATTATCTCTATCCCCTAAATACAAAAGTTTGGTATCCATGTAATAATCAACATAGCTTTTTTTTTCTTTTCTTTTCTTAACTGGATTGGTATCCATTAAAACCGGCTTGAGTATTCGGTATATCGCCAGCATAAACTAGAGGGTACTGACAGTTGACATCAAAAGTGTGTATAGAGACTCCCTACATGTCAAAAGCGTTTACAAAGCACATTTAAAAGTCACATTCATTGGATGGCATAAATCAAACAGATGTTCCTATAATGGGTAGGTGATGAGTTGTGACTCATTCATTATTTATTGTTGAGGAGGGTTCTGGAGAGGAGGTTGATGTGATCGGAAAGGGTGGTTTGGCACACTGAAATGCATCCAGATGGGGGCTAAGTTTGGTATTTTACATTTCCGGAAAAAATATTTAAATGGATTATATTTTTAATGACTCACTAATAACCGTAGGTCAGCTAGAACAATCAGTAGTATACTTGAGGGAGGTTTTAGGTCATATTTTTAGTTAAAGGGAGTATATGTAATAAGCATACTTGCTCACCGTATAAAACATATTGTTCCCCAACTGAAACCTTGTCTCAAACTTTCTGTCTATGGTGCTAGCAGCCACTGAGAGAGACCATGGTGAGTAATTTCTGTTTCTTTCAGAAAAAGGACCTGAATGGTAGGTAGAATTGGATGTGAGTATTCTGTTCTTCATAGAATGGAAAGCTCCAATGGCAATGGAATCTTCAAAGTAATTCAAGGGGGATATGTCCCTGCCACGTCCAACAGAAAGTGATACTATATCAACTCCATCAGCAATTGCATTATCAAATGCTGCAAGGATATCCGCATCTGAACACCCATCAGTCCAACATATCTTGTATACAGCAATCCGAGCCGAGGGAACCCCTCCTAGGGGTGCACAAAAATCCGGTCAAACCGAAAATCCAAACCAGACCGGACAGTTTGGTTCAGTTTGCTAACGATTTGGTTCGGTCACAGTTCTAAATTTGTGAAACCGTAAAAATACAATCCTTTAGGACCGAACTAGACCGGACCAAACCATTTGGTTATATATATATTTATATATATGTTAAATTATATATATACAATATAATATAATCCTATAATCTAAATCACTTAGAAGTTTGTAACAACTATCAATCCTACAATCCACTATTAATTCTCTTAGGTCTTATCAATTTATTAAATTATTCTTATTTTTTATTGATTTAGAATGGTTGAATTTTGTTAGTTTTCTGAATTGTGGTAGAATGTTTGTTGTGAAATTAGTAATTTTAAATGTGTTGGGTTATTAACAATACTGAATGTATGCATTTCAGTTCCAGAATTGACAGAGAAGAATGAATTAAAAGCTTAGCAATTCTAAATGTGTTGATTAATTTAGTTTATTATTGTGCATTTGGATTTTGAAATATCAATATTTCTGTAGCAGGGATAAGAAAAAAAATCGTGGAACCGAACCGAACCGATCCGAACCAAACCGGTTTCTCACAGTTTGGTTTGGTTCGGTTTCTTTGATCAAATGGTTAGGCTTGGCTCTAGATTTTCTGGAACCGTTAGAATCGGTTTGGTTTCAAAAAACTCTCAAAACGGTCCAAACCAAACCGTGTGCACCCCTAACAACTCCCATTGCTGTACCCTTGCCAAACCCTAATAAGCTTAGGTCGTTCACTAAGTGCCCTACTGCTATAGATGCAGTGTAATAATCGTTCTCTAATCTCTACGACCTTTTCTCCTTTTCATTTAGTTTCCTATAAACAAGCTATGTTGATTTTCGTCCTTTTCAATGAATCCATACATTTATTTTTTATTTTTTATTTTTTTCAAAAGGAAATCCATAAATTCCTTACCGTTGATGTCCCTATATTTCATGTTGCCCTTTTCTTTTCTTTTTTTACTTTTGTTTTCACTATTATAACGATAATTTATCGTGAAGATTTGAGATAATTTATGATCAACTGTCACGTTGAGAGAACCATATAATAAAGTATGAAACCTAAATAACATAATATCAGACAACATTGGGAGGTGGGTGGGGTGACATTCAGTTGGAACATTACATACAAACATAAATCAAACTTTTCACAATAATGTCTCTTCCTTTCCATAACAGGAATCAATAAATTAGAAACACAAACGCACGCATATATATAAATTGAGGGGAAAACAAGTAGAAAACAGAAAACACGATACTGATCAATACAGCAAATGCCAACATGAAGGACAAACAAATAAGCTCGTATTCAGATTTTAAGGAAAAAAAAAAAAAGAAAACAACCAATCCGCCACTTAAGTCTCCAATAACATTAACAAATGCAAAATAATAATAATTGAAAAATAATATATAAAAAAAAAAGAAACAAAAATTAGGTATACATACAAAAAAAAATTGCTGAAGAGTATAAAGATCGGAGTAAGAAAAATCAAACGAATAAACGTACTATTAATCTCTTGTCCATGATATTCAGCCAGACGCATTTATGTTTTAAACCAAATGATTCTCCGATTTTATCAGATTTGAAAAACGAGAGGATAGTCGAAGAATCTGTTCAACAACATACTAGTCCTAGTCGCTGCCCATCTGGGATGAGTCAACCATATTGCATATGTGTGTGTATATATATACTATATATCTATCATAAAGAGAGAGATGACCCTCACACCTTAGCCGCCTTCAGTCGTCGCTGTTGGGGGAAGGTCGTTTTGTCTAAGCCAGTGAGAGAGCACGAGCGCCGCAGGGGCCTGATGTGATGTCGTGAACTTTTATGTACCCTAAGTGTTTCGCTCGTGTAACTATTATCCGATTTGGTAGTTCACACGAAAATAACCACAATATTTATTAGGCTAAAATCTGAAAATCCTCTTGTTTATCGAAACTACCTACTAACTCTATCTCCTTCGACTGTTAAAAAACTCTTCCATATAACATAAACTATTACATTACCATTAAGTTCCTTAAAAATGACAAAAATACCTTTGATAGTATATTAATATTTATTTAAAAGTTAAATGTATTTTTATAAAATGACCAGAATATCATTAATAGTATTAATATTTATTTTTTCCTTTAGATAGGAAATTGATAGCAACAAACTAAAAATCGTGGATGAGCGCACTGTGGTGGTCAAAGATTTACAACACCGTGGTGACGATCTAAGGTGGTGGTTGTGGGTGTCACATGTCTCTTCACACTACCCCTTCTCCATCTTCTAATTCTACAACCAATTTCAAGACAAAACCCTAACATACACGGTCAATGCCTCTACTAATTTCCTCAATGCCATCGACGAATTGCTCGCCACCATTCATGATTGGACTCCCATGGCAGCTAAAAAGCCCGTTGAAGTGTGTCATCGTGGGGGACCATCAATAATATGCACGAAATCACAAAGTGGATGGTGGCATGTACATAATTGTATTGAATTAAATATGACCCAATTTAACAACACACTTGAAAATCCTTAATTTTTTTGGGTAAGAAAAAATCTATAAATTTTATTTTTGTCACGTGATTTGCTCCGTTAGTTTTAGACGGTCAACTAACGGCCTTATTGTTTATTGAAACCATCTACTAACCCCTTCGAGTATTAAAAAAAATCCCTGATATAACATAAATTATCACATTGTCCCGGACCGTTAAGTTTGTTTAAAATGACAAGAATACCCTTAATAGTATATTAATATTTATTTAAATATAATTATAGTAATTATATATAATTATAATTATTATAGTAATTATATAATTATAGGAGCGTGTTGTATCGCTTTCTATAACCCTGCCTTCCCTATTGTTATAGCCACTTTTGGGTGCAGTGGGGTTCAAGAATGAAGTCAAAACAGGTATGGTAGATAGCGAACATCTGTATCTGTGATAAAAAAAAAAAAACAAGCTACCTTCGAGTAGGAACAAGACCAAGCAAGCATTTCTTATTCAGACTGCCTGTTCTAATAGCCTGTCTCTTTTCCAATCTTCATGGCAAGAATGATTTATGAATGAGTTGAGCACCCTATTGAAGGGTCGCGCTGTTGGAATAGCTCTTCCCTTTATGATATATTGAACTCTTTTTTCATTCAAGGTTATGGAACTTTAGTAAAGTCTTCTGTCAGAGTCTCATTTGCCTTCCCGGCGATCAATCCCCTTTGGAATCAAGCAAGGCTCCCACTATTCACTGGCAAGGGTCCAAGTCCAATAATGTTTCCTGTCTTTAATATGGCCAATTAGAGTGATGGTAGGGATGCTCAGAGGCAGCAACGCCTAAAAATTCCTACGCCGTGGAACATGAACGCTGAATTGGGCCTTCTTCCTGCCTATCTTCATCGGCTCCATTAGGGCTTCCTTCCCAGAGCGTGAAACGGTGCCAGTGAGGTATGGTGGTCCTGGAGAAGACGAGCGATAGGGACGCGGCAGTGGCAATGAGCAATGCCACCACCGCCGCAACGACGGTGCCGGCAGTGGCGCAGTCACACAGGGACAAATGGGGCAATCGCCCCTTTTAAATTTTTAATATATATATATATATATATATATAATCAAAAATTCATTCACACTTTTACACCAAAAAAATAAAAAATAAAAAGGCACAAATCAAAGGAATATAACCATCACATAATTGTAAATATTCTATCAATTTATTACTTCTTCTAAAATATGATTTTTTTTTCTACTTTCTTAAAATATTATATTCTTTTCTAATATTGTATCACACTTTTAACTTTACCACAAACAAAATGGATTGTTTCCATCGTATCTTCAATCTTCAACATTTTTCACAATCCAAACAAAGCAAGAGTCATATTGCAGTGCGGCTGGTAATCTGATTTTTTATTTATTTATTTTATCATATAAATTTATGATTATTATTTCAAATTATAATTTTAATTAGAAAATTTATTAGTTATTACTATCAAAAAAAAATTCGGGCTTGTTTGTTCTTTCAAAATTTAATTTGTGTAATCGTGTTACTAATTATTATTCTCTAAATAACACTTAGAATTTGTTTTCATTTGTAGCCCAAATCAATGAAATCACAAATTAAATGTTATCATTAATTTTTATTTTTATTTTTTTTACATATGTGATATATTAGAACCGGTAATGTGTTATTTTCTTTTTCATATTTTATTGATTCATTGAATATGATTTTTTTTAGTATATTTAATTAAATGAACTCAATTTTGAAATAACAATGAATAATCTGAAAAAATCGTTATGAATGTACTGAATAGAATATAATGAATCAATGTTTTAATTTTTAATCATTATAATGTAATATAAGGTACATGTGATACTCACGTGATCAGATTCGTTAATTTTAGACGGTCAACTAACTGGGAGGGGGTGTTGTGATAGTTTATGTAGTTGAGGGGGTTAATAGATAGTTTTTGTAAACAACATGGAGGTTTTCTGATTTTAGCCCTATATTTTTAAAAACATAAAGGAATAATATGATAGTTTATGTAATTGAAGAGGTTAATAAATAGTTTTTGCAAATAACCGGGGTTTTCATATTTTAGCCCATATTTATTTAACTATTGGTGTAGGTTTTGTGTCTGGTAGACACGAAAACAAAATTATAATTATAAATACCCAAAATACATAAAATAATAATAAAAAACTAATAAGAAATGTATTTTAAAATTAAAGTAATGATCTCTCTTGTTCATAGAATAAAAAATTCATCAACAATAGTAATTCCTGGATGTAAAAAGGGCAGTTACAAAAAATAAAAAAACAAGTGAAAATTCATCTACACCATCCATAAATTCATCAACACCACCCATTGCAATAGTTGGATGTAAAAAAATAATAATAAATAAATAAATAAGAGATAGAGACCTAGCAATCAAATTCTATTATTATTATTATTATGGGTGGATGAATTTCTTACTCACTGCAAAATATTATTACTCGATAAAATATAACATTTGTGAGAATGTTCACAATCACAATATATTTACTTTAAATTAGTTGACTGTCCAAAGTTATTTAATCAATGTTTCAGAGTGAAAGGTTAAATCGTGAGAGTTCAAAGTTTACAAAAACAAAGAGTGTATGAATTTCTTGTAAAAGCAACAAAAATAATCAAATTACGTAGTTCATTGTCTATGATTCAAAATCTCTCAGACAGTAGGTTTAAATTTTTTATTTTTTATTTATGTTAGCCCTGTAAAATTTTATTTCAAATGCGACTTATTGATTTTGAATTACAAAAATCTCCTTGAAAATTCAAGTCCTCGTATTTAAAACAAATAAAAATAGAGATATGATATCTATGGAAGTTAAAAAAAGTAGGTTTACTTGTTTCCATTCCTCATTAATTTATTTATTTTTATTAAAAATCTATAATGTAGTATTTAATAATTATACGCCGGATAAGTAGAGCTATTACATCCCGAAAATAGCAAGGTCTTGTTGAAGGCCCAACTAAAGGATGTTAATGTAGACCCAAGCCTAACCCATGTATTTATCCTTACTATTTGGAGCGGACAAGCAAGTCCTAAATTAGTCTTTTTATATTTGGGCCAGAGCCCAAAACATTTTACATATTCTTTTTCATAGTAAGATTTTGAGCCCAGGGCCATGCAAGGTTTATCAAGTTACGGCCAATCAGTGTACCATGGATTTAATCAGTGTACCATGGATTTATCAGGCCTAAATGTGGGCCACAAAACCCAATTTTGCTGATTTTTTAAAAACAAACTTAATACTAAATTTTGCCTTTAGAAAATTTGAAAAAACAAATATTTTCGGTAAAGAAAAAAAAAAAGAAAAAAAGTACAATGGGTATTCATTTTATGTCTTTAGTAAAACGCCAACATTCATAGGGGAAATTTATATTTTTTAGGCATTCAACAGAGACCCTTTGGGTCTGTTTGGCAACACCGTTTTGGAGTCTTAGAATTGGAGTATCCAATTCCAAATCGTGTGTCTGGCTACCATAAACTAACATGGGTTCGGGATTACATTACAATCTCAAATACTTCAAATCAGCGATTTCAATATCATGGTAGAACCACGGATTTGTAATCCCAAAACCAACACAATCTTTCTCTGGCTCTCTCTCCCCGTCCTCGACCTCAATTTTATTTTAAACAACTCCATGTAGTGATAGTAAGAAGTGGAATTCACCCGTTACTCTACTCTATTTTTTCTTATTGCATTAGATATTTGCAAAAATTAAATTGCTGTAGTGTTGAAATGAACTAATATTCAGCTATTAATTATATATAGTACTAATATTACATAAGATATTAATTTTGCTTCTATTAATCGCATTTGAATTGCCAAGGGTACAAATTTTTTAGACCACTTCATTGCAAAGCAAAGGTGCCCCCTAAGTATTGCACATCCATCCCCCCCGAAAAAGAAGTACTATGATCATTAGTGAATAGTACTTGTGAGGTTGTGACCAATCTTTCTAGCTAGCTAGCTCACTAATTATATATGCATATATATATATATACACACACACACTAAATGGCGCCTTAAAAGCCTAATCTACTAAATTATTTATAGCCTATCCACTGGTAGTCCACTTCTGAGTCAACATGAGAGACAATTATTGCCACTAGATGCATCAAACACACAGTGGTCCAACCTTTGGACCACTTGATCAGATGGTTCGGTCCAAAGCAGATTGATGATACATAAGTTGGT